AACAATAATTATTACTTCATGCTTCATTTCCTTTTTTTCTCCACACCTCTCCCTTTTCATTTTTCTCACAACCCTCACTAAACTCCCTGATCCTCCTTGATGTACAGATGGAGGATGCAAGGGTGGGCTTGCAGGCTTCTCTGCTGGTCCGATCTCCAGAAACAGGGGAGCTGTTTGTGAACTTTGACCCAGAGGTTCTGACCCAGATTAGGGAGGTAAACTGCATGACCAGGATGAATTTGGAGATCCCTCCCTTTGCTGCTCTGCTGCAGCAGAAACAGGACATCTTCACAAAGAACTACAACAACTTACAGGTGAATATTGCACATAGTTTTAAGCATCAGGAAATGCATACAACTTCAAGATGACTATGAGAAAAGAAAATTGATTTATAGAATCAGAGTCAGTGACATCTGTATTTGTGTTAGAAATCCACACAAAGGTATAGGCCATAAAATGTGAGGCTGAAATTGAGAGGAGGACAAAAGGGTATTGTGAAAAGTATTATCATGCAAAAATGGTCATTTCTCTAGTAGTTACAGTATTCTCCAACAATTTTGAAAATGAATATATCAAATGTAATAACATCTATCTCATTTCAGTTAATGTTGAGTGAGAACACCAGAGTGCGGGCGAAGATTCAGAGTGTTTTTGAGCAGCTGGCCATGCCTCATGTAGCTAAGGTAAGATGTGGTTATGATTTAATTCAAGTTTTAATTTAAATTATCTTCCATATCTTGCATGTTATGTACTTGTTGGGTTGTGGTAATACTAAATTTAGGATTGAAACTATACCTAATAATAGGATATATAACATTAAATAGAAATTGAATTATTTAACAATGAATTAGTGTATTTCTGTGTTTTACTTTTTATGAATATGAGGAATTATTTGATACTGCCCCATAATTCTGTTAATTTACTGAATATAGAATATTTTAGAGCTTCATTTATCAATTGCGAGTGTGTTTTGATATGCACTAGTTAATAGTTTTATTTTTATTACATGTTCTATTCCTCTTTTTTTCTTTCTAAAGCACAGGTGTGTGTAATTGTCCTGCAGACATTTTGTCTTCAGGAGGCTCTTTAATGGTATTTATGCATTGTTGCTATGGAGTTTAATGGAAATTCCATATCCTTTTTAGCAAACTTTCAGTACGTAAAATTCACGTTAGCAGTGTCATTGCGTGTTTTCCTGTGTGGAATCAATGCTGTCCACCAGCTAGTTCTCTGGCAGAGGGGTAAAGCAGTGAAAAAACGTAGTCCAGTAAAATCTTTATTGGTTTAGTTAATATGCTCAAGTAGAAGTAAAGGTAGTCATTAGAATGATTCTAAATGTCTCTACTGAAAGAAAATACTATATGTTGCCCAGTTCACAACCAGACATGTATCTTACAGTATAGATGGTAATGTCTAAATATCTGAAACAACAAAAGGTCATATGATTTTAAATTATTTATTGATTAAATATGCTTTTAGACTTGTGTCAATAGCAATGCAGTTTTATATCAGTACTGTGATGTAATAGTCACTTTAGGGATTGGGATAACCGCACAATTGCATTGTTCAACACGTATCAGACGAGTCTCTGACAGAATAAGACTGACTGTGCACAGCAGCTACTGTGCAGAGCATCATCATGCCATACATCACTTACTTGACAGGTGGATGAGGCTATACAGCCAGGTTTGACCTCCCTCAACTGGACATCTCTGAACACAGACAAGTATCTCAGCCGCATTGACAAGGCATTGGGTAAGCAAAAAATCCAGCAGCATCAATGTCTCACATGCTGACACATCCTGCAGACAACCTGCAACTCAGCACTGACAGCGTGTAATCAAATTTACATTAATTGATTCATTGTGCACTCTGTGTTCTCAAAAGTTACTCTCACATACATTCTGTCCATCTCGAAACTCCACGGTTTTTTGTTTTGTTATGCCAACCTCCTCAACGCTTGCCGCCTTCCCCTTGTTCTTCCCTTCTTTCCCTTTATTTCTGTCAGTCTTGGTAACTCTCTGTCGTATACTCTTGTGTCTCCAGTTGACCTGGAGCTGTTGATGGACAGAGTGAATGACTTGGTGGAGTTTAGAATAGATGCAGTACTGCAGGAGATGAGCGTATCCACACTGTGTGTTCTGCCAGAGGATGAACCAGTCACCTGTGAGGAGTTTGTTCAAACCACCAGGGTAAATAAATACAAATAACACTTAAAATAACCCTGTCAGTCTGCAATTATAGTTTTACTGAACCTACCTTTCTTAAATATATACCACAACCCCCTTTGTCATAATTTTAAAAAGAGGCTGTAATTACTTATAAAACATTTAAATTTTTTTTCCCTACTCAAACATTAATTATGCGAATGGTTACTCTTGTACAATCTATTGTACTGTGTTTACATGTGTGTAGGACCTGTGCATAAGACAAGCTCAGAATCTCCACATCAAGAGCTCACTGGTAGAGGAGGCTGCTAATGAGGTGATCAACATGCTGCTGGAATTCGACCACGATCAGAAAGAGGAGGTGGAGAAGGTTGAGGAAGAAAGCTGCACTGAGAGCAAGGCTATTGACCACATTGATAGTGAAGGTATAAAAACACGTTCCTGTTAAGACTACATGGAACAGGATGTGATAAGGTGCAATGCAGTGTGCTGTATAAGTCGAGCTTCATGTAAAATAGAACATGAGCACAAATGCATGAAATAATAGAAGGGAAGGGACATGACTACAAAGGACACCATTTGTTATAACCTTTTTAGTTTTGCTTTATAAGAATGAACGCTACTGAGTTTATATGCACACTATATGAAATATCTGTCCAGCAAAGGTTGTTTTTTGTTAATACATGTGATAAATTGTGTCCCTATAGGTGAAGATGAGCGTCGCTCAGAGGGCCGTCTCTTCTCTCGAAACACGTTGCTCCTTCCCGCTAGCGTTGGTCCTTCCTCTCCCTTGATGAGGAAAAAGAAGAAGAGGGATCTGATGGAAGTGATGGAGGAGGAAGCCCAGGAGTTGCTCTCCTACTTCAACCACCGCAACGTGGATGCCCTGCTCAGAGCAACACGCAACACCCTGGAGATGCTACGCAAATGCATACATACGTCCTCGCTCAAGCATTTCTCAGGTTGGTCTTGTGTAATCACTTTGTTGCAATTAAAATGTAAAACCATTAACATTTTTCAAATTAAAGTCACAAAAAAAGTGTTTTGAGAAGACACAAAATTATAAAATTACCTGACTGACCCAGCAGCCTTTATTCTGTCAATACTACAAACTCAATAGTGCATTTCCTTAGTCACTTTTGTCCTAGCAGGACTATTTGACCACAAACACCATATCAGGTTTGTCAGTTACCATCAATTTTGAGTTCTTACTTTTTGCGTCCTTTGTTTGAGCTCATAAAAATCTTGGAATCACGTCATGTTGTATCACAGCTACTCCAATCTCTCCCTGCAGCTGAGAGTGACTTAACCAACCGTGGCAAAAGCAACAGTCAGCAGGCAATCTTCCGAGTCAGTGTGACCCTCTCCATCCCTAACATCGCCATGGTCCCGGCTCTGGAGGAGGTCCAACAGGCTCTGAACCGAGCTGTAGAGTGTGTGGTCAGTGTGAGCAAAGGGGTCGGCCAGTGGAGCAAAGAGAGGATCTCTAAGGTGGGTTTGATGGGACGACTTAGATAATCATTTGTGATGAGTCGCGGAGTTACATTTCTGACAGAACAACCTCCATTCACCAAATTCACTAATTAGTTGTCAATTTATTTGAACTGATTATGTTTTGGTTCTGTAGTCTACTGAACAAACCCCGAGGCCTTTTCTTACATTTAAGTCTCCTTTTGCAGAGAAAAATGAATGAAAGACGGATGGCGGCTCTGAAACAAGACAGTTCTGAGAGTGAATCAGAGGATGGAGCAACGACGTACAGGAGCCTGGCTGGTATAAGTTGACATGAGACATTTTGAGATTTATTCATATTGTTTCCAACATTCGATCAGATGTCATTATGTCACAACTGAACAAAGCAAAGCCCCATCTGACGAGTTGTAGATAGAAAGAAAAGACATTTTAAAATACTGCTCAGATAGAGCAGCAGTTTTGGTCACATTCTACAAGGGCTAACATGGAGGAAATCAAATGAAACTGCGTATTTAATGAATGATAAAGTTGCAGATTAATTAATTTGATGTGACAAAACTTTTCTTTAGATATGTTCTATAGATATATCAGAGAATCAGAGGATGTAAATGCAACCTGTATTGATGTATAATTAGAAACGAAGGATTCCATGCGAAGCCCCGCAGATTTTAACGTTCACAAGCATCTTGTCCACCCGCTCCGTGTCTATTCTGTCACAACAAACATTCTGTTCGCCAAACTATATACCTTCCAGATGGCAGCACCTCAGACATTTCAGCATCTGTGATCCAAGCAATCCCATTCCAAGCCAGAAACTACTACAAGAGTGTGTCTGAGAACAAGGAAATCGTCAAGCTGGTGTCTGTTCTCGGCACCTCCATTACCTCCACCAAAAAGGTACAGAAAGTTTATAATATAAGCTAATATATAATAATCTAAGTATATAGTAAAAGCTAATATATAGTTTTTACATTTATATTATTCTGTCTAGTTCAGCAGTAGCATTTGTCCACAGCAAATGGATAAAGGCAATAAATGTTATTTTTCATTGTATTTTAATTTCCATCATTTCGTATGAGGAGAAATGACCTTTTCATCTTATCCTAAATTTTACATTTCTAGTGCAGTAAATTTCCTACTTAACTCCTCTTTAATTTATTTTGCAGGAGGTGGTGACTGCTCTAGACCGCTTTAGCCGTTACCATCACATCTGGAGGAAGGACCGTGAAGACACCATGCAGAAGTATGTGAAACTGAATGACTGATATCCAGGTTGGATTGCCAGAAATGATTAAGTCATTGCTTTTTTTTGGTTTATGTTTTTATCCAGATTCATCCAGGGGAGTCCCTTACTGTCAGAGTTTGAAAGCCAGATTATTTTCTATCGAGACTTGGAGTTGGAAATAAACTCAGAACCAGAGTACATCATTGTCAGCGCCTTGGCCCTGTTCACAGGTTGGATTAGGTTGTACATTTGACACCAACCAACAAGAATTTGACTTACAGTTGCTGATCTCGCTTTCTTTGTGCCAGCTTCCTTAAAAATGTCCCTCACTGCTGAAACCAAGAACTGGATGGTGGACTACGGACTCTACTGTAACAGAAAATACCGCTCAGAGATGGAGCAGATCTTTGCTTTTGTTGATGAAGCAGGAAAGAAACTGAATCGACAGATTAAAGACCTGGATGACATTCGGATTGGCATGGCTGCACTCAAGGAGATCAGAGAGCGCCAGATATCTGTTGATTTTCTAGTTGGACCCATAGAGGTAAATCACAGCATTGCGTCTTTCATACCAGGTAATAAAAGATATAATACACTCAGCGGGAAAGAGGTGTTTTAAGGAGTGTGTGTGAAAGAATCTCAGCAGTGCTTGAATGTTTTTGCAATGTGAATAGGGATAATGGTAGCAATGCTACATACAAGGATGTAGTGCTGAGCATGAGCACTCAAGTAGTGTTTTGAAGTGTTTAGATTAAGTCCTGTATTAAAAGATCAGTGGCAATGTGGGGAAATTTTTGCTTTTTATGTTCATTATTATTTGTAAAAATGCAGATATTTGAGCTGTTAATGCCAGATAGAAGATATCTTCCCCCCACCCCCACAGGAGTCCTATGCCATGCTTAATAAATACGAGCTGTCAGTGGCCAAAGAGGAGGCTGATAAGGTGGACACCCTGCGTTACACCTGGGAAAAGCTGCTGTCCCGGAGTACAGAGGTGCAGAACGAGCTGGTGTCCTTGCAGCCAAACTTTAGAGGAGAACTGGTTGTCAATATGAAGGTCTTTCTGGAAGACTGCCAACACTTTTACCAGGATTATGACAAGGTAAAAAAAAAAATTCTAAAGTGACAAAAATTGTAATACTCATGTTCACAAGTCTGCACAAATTGTTCCAGACAGCACTTGCAGCCATTGTACTCACTTCTAATCAAGCTATTTGTTTAAATTACATCACATAATTAAACTAATTGAATAATACTTAGAGTAGTTTGATAGCAAGTGACAAAGACTCTCTTTTCTCTTTGTGCTTCAGGATGGCCCCATGGTGGTGGGGTTAGCGCCTCAGGATGCCAGTGACAGACTGATCATGTTCCAGGTTTGTTACTGGTTATGTGAGTTGGACGTAGTCAAACATATCAGTTAGTGTCTTTAATTCAGGTGATGCGAATGATCCTGGTGCCTGACAAAAGCAGTTACATGATAGTTATGTTCAGGGTGGCGTGCTTTACGTAAAATCTGTTTATACCTGGATAATTGCATAGGTTGCACCTATTGCATAATGGCTGAAACTCAGAGCAGCTAAATCAGCCATATTTCATCAAATATTAATTTCTGCCATTACAGAGTTCATGAACTAATTTTTTAATATATATTTTTTTGTTCTCCCCTTTAGAATCGATTTGACAATCTATTCAGAAAGTATGTCACTTACACAAGTGGAGAGGAGCTGTTTGGACTTCCTGTTACCCAGCATCCTCAGCTGCTGGAGATTAAGAAGCAGCTGACTCTGCTGCAAAAGTTGTATGGCCTTTACAACAACGTCATCGAAACAGTCAATGGTTACTACGATATCCTCTGGGCCGACATCCATATCGAGAAGATCAATAATGAGCTGCTAGACTTCCAGACCAGGTTAGACAGGTTGTTTTGTCTCTTAAAACTGTTCAGTATTGAATTGTCTTAACCAGAGTACGGCTGACCTGAGATTAAACTCTAAGTGAAATGGACAGTGAGACACTTCCAGGAAAGATTATGCAACGCCCACTGAACCTGAAACAAACCAAGGTAGGTGTTATACTGATAAAACTGAAAAAAGGGACTTTCACACATATTGATCAAGCTGTAGGGTTGCTACAGAAAGTGTAGAAAGTGTGTAAATGAGAAGTAAAGTAAAATGAAAAAGAAGAAAAATCTAATTTAACTGAAGTGCATTAATCTGTCCTTGCTCTCGGCATCGCGCCTGTCTCTGCTTTACAGAAAGTCTTCACTCTGGAGTTGCACAAGATTTTTCATTAGGCATTGCATGAAGATTTTAATTTTAGAATTCCAATCTACACTTATCTTTACACTCAGTCTTCTACAAAGGAGAGGATCCAGGCAAAACTGATTAATGTCCCCTCGTTTGTCTTGTCTCTTGTCCAGCAGACACGAGTACTAAAGCTGGAAGCAGTTAGTAGTAATCAGGGGATAGTGGATTGAATAGTGTTGCTTTATGTTTGATACAGCTGTATAATAGTCATGGTGCATGAACTTGGGAACTGTGTTTCATATAAGGGATAATGCCACACAAATTGAATAGACAATGATTGTCATTAATAACATGTGAGTTACAAACTTGGTATTCAGCTGCTTTAAATATACAGTCGTCCTCAAATGTATTCATACCCTTCCATTAAAAAAAAGGCAAAATTCACAATAGTCACTCAAATTACTAGAAACTGAAAAAAATTATAATAAATAAAAATTTACTAAATTACAATTTAGTGAAATAAGACATTGCTTTTGAATTGTGGTTGAAAAGAATAATTAAACAAAAAACAAAAAACAAAACTGTTAAATTAAAGCACTTTGCTGATGAGCAATGGGCCAAAATCAAAATACCTGTCAACAGATGCAGAAGTCTGATTGAGAGTTACAGAAAACACTTAATAGCAGTGATTGACTTAAAGGCTTGGTCAACAAAATACTAGTTTATGGGTCCCATCATGCTTATTTGCTTGTTTTTTTTTGGTTTGCTTGTTTTTTTTAATATTTCTGTTGAACCACAATATAAAAATACACACTACAAAATATACATATCCGCTGTTAATTTACACATTGTTAATTAGTAAAATATAGCTCCCAAGCATTATATTTTCAGTTGTTGCGGTTGCTAGTGAATGTTTCCAAACAAGAAGGAGTTTGCCAGGCTCAATCAAGCACCTGAACCTGCAGCATGTAACTTTTCTCTCCCCCTCCTGGCAGCGAGATTAATCACACAAACACTGTTGATACCACCTCGCTTCTTTGCTGTTGTCAATTTGCAGCCAAAGCTACATCCTACTCTATCTCTATCACTACAGTTACTTCCTTCTTCAGCTCTGCCAACCCAATCATTGCTGGTAGATGTAATCTATGGCTACCTGTGGTGAAATACAAGTGCAGGAATGTCACCATAGACAGCAGATTCAAGTTATATATAAAAGTCTAGCTTCACTAATCCTGACAAGTCTAGAAAGTCTAAAACCAGAAGAAAAAAAAAAAAATCAATGATTGTTCTTAATGTGAAGAACAGAGAATAGTGATGCATTCTTTTGCACAGTGTCAGTAAAACTTTATGAACAGCAGGGAAACAATCAACCACAGCATTAAGACCACCCGCCTAATATTGTATAAAAAATTGGAACATAATTAATTTGGCATTTGTAAAACATTTGTTAGCTCTGAGTTAAACGATTGCATTCTTTGAACTAACAGGTGTCGCAAACTGCCTCGTGGTCTGAAGGAGTGGCAGGCCTTCCTGGACCTGAAGAAGACCATCGATGAGTTCAGTGAGTGTTGCCCCCTCCTGGAACTCATGACCAATAAAGCTATGATGACCCGCCACTGGAAGAGAATCACTGAGGTCAGTTAAACATGACAGCCAGCAAACCATTGTAGCTCCATTTTACTAACATCAACTGTTAAACTTGTACCCAGTAATGATCATAGTACCTGAAGTTAATCTGGTTTTGTTCCTAGGTGACTGGTCATACCTTTGAGGTGGAAAGTGATACATTCAAACTGCGTAACATTATGGAGGCTCCTCTGCTTAAGAATAAAGAGGAGATTGAGGTAAGAATAGTCACAGGAGGCTACCTATGCATGCAGAGAAAAATGCAAAAGTTTGCTTTTTTTGTTGCATGGAGTGAATGACAAAACAAGCATTTAGATTACATTGAAATAAGTCATGGCCTCTAAATGACACAACGTGGTTTGGAGGAAGTTTTATACCTTATTCTCGCAATTTTGGAATAAAGTCACTTGAATACATTTTGATCAGTAATATACGCATATCCCATTTAGTGCAAGGTCTCTTTATTTACAGCTATTCATTCAAATGTAACTTTTAGTTGTTTTTGATGTGAAGTGTAGAATTCATGAGGTTGACTTTCAGTGTATCAAAGTTGCAAACTTTAAAGCCAAAATGAACAACGTGGACTCTCTGTATGAGAGAGATTCTAAATGAGACTGTTGAAATATAAAAGCCTCTTCATCATTATCTGTGAATCAGATCTGAAAGACTTTACAACAATGAATCAGTGAAAACTGATGTTATTAAAAGTGCTCTAAATGCCCACCTGCAGCTCTAGCAAATTTGATTTAACATACTTAAAAAAAATACTTAATGCATCTTAGCCATAGTAACAGACAGCCGCTGAGAGAATGTGGCAGCCTTTGAAAAGTGTCGCTGGTTGCGTTTTTATAACAGATATGCATTATTGCATTTTGTTTTGAGTTTCGTCAGTGTTTATTTATGCATTTGTTCACCACTAAAAATAGTTCTTCTAAGGTTTTCACACATTTGAGGGGCCTTTACAGGATATCTGTATCAGTGCTGTGAAAGAGCGGGACATTGAGCAGAAGCTGAAGCAAGTGATTGCTGAGTGGGACAACAAGACTTTTACATTTGCCAGCTTTAAGACCCGTGGAGAGCTGCTGCTAAGAGGAGACAGCACATCGGAGATCATCACCAGCATGGAAGACAGCCTGATGATCCTGGGTTCTCTTATGAGCAACAGGTATGTCAGTGCTAAGTCTCATAATAATCAGGAGTTAGATGAGGGCCATAGAATGTTCTGGCCCCTTGGTTGTGTGAAATGTAGCTGGATGGCCTTGTAGACACACTACTGTAACGCTTGAGTGCATATTTAACTTCTCAGGTATAACACCCCATTTAAAGCTCAGATTCAAAAGTGGGTTCAGAATCTTTCCAACACCACTGATATCATCGAACACTGGATGACTGTCCAGAACCTCTGGATCTACCTGGAAGCTGTGTTTGTGGGTGGAGACATTGCCAAACAGCTGCCTAAGGTAACTGTAACAGTAGACTATTCAACTTTTATTCTCCAAGCTACTCTCTAGTTCTTAGATATAACTGAAATCACATGGTTATCAAGCTTAAAAGTAAACTTCAAAAGAACTGAACCTGTGAACTGATTGTTTTCTTTTTTGTAATTAGCAGTATCTTGTGTATAATAAGCATTTTTACGTGTAGAACACAACTTCCAGATTAAGGGATTACTGTCAATAATGTCTTTAATTCTCTGTGTAATTTATGGAGTTAGTGTCAGACATAATTTCCTATTTTTTTGTAGTTCATGTCCTTTTTGTAAAAAACAAATACCTAAAACAAAATTTTAGTATTTAGAACAATCAACCAAATAGATTTTTCCAAATAAAAAAATAGATTTGAAGCAAAATGCAGATAATCAATCTCTGATAATTTGATGAATGACAAACTCAATCTTTTTAGGAAGCAAAGCGTTTCTCTAACATTGATAAGTCCTGGGTGAAGATCATGATGCGAGCCCACGAAATGCCCAATGTGGTGCAGTCGTGTGTGGGAGATGAAACCATGGGACAGCTGCTTCCTCACCTGCTGGAACAGCTGGAAATCTGCCAGAAGTCACTTACAGGGTGAGAACACAAGGACCACAATAGTAATCATCTCACACCTGCAAACATAATGGCAGTTTGTTCATGAATATTCCAATTATAAAAAATGAGGGAGGGTAGTTGTGCAGACTGTTTTGTTACTGCGAGCTGTCTGGTTTGTTGTATTGCTTGTGAGCTGCTATTAAACAGATAAACAGATAACCTTTTTTTTCGTTTTCTCATGGGCTCAAACAGCTATTTGGAGAAGAAGCGTCTGCTATTCCCACGTTTCTTCTTTGTGTCTGACCCTGCCCTGCTGGAGATCCTGGGCCAGGCCTCTGACTCCCATACCATCCAGGCCCACCTTCTTAATGTTTTCGACAACATCAAATGCGTCCGATTTCATGACAAGGTGAATCTTTAATGGAGCCAGTTTGAGTGTTGTTTGTGTTGACCTTCTGGCAGGTCATTGTCAAAGAGCAATGGCACCTTTCAGACCTTCAGAAAGGGCTTAAGAACACATATTTTATTGTAAGAGAAATAGAATATTAAAGAAAAATAGAATAGGCAATCTATAGTGCTATTAAATTAAATATGCCACCTTCCTCAGGTATATGACCGTATTCTGGCCGTGTCATCCCGGGAAGGGGAGACGGTGGAGCTGGAGCGTCCCGTCACAGCAGAAGGGAACGTGGAGGTGTGGCTCAATGCTCTGCTGAAAGAATCCCAGAGGTCTTTGCATAACGTGATCCGACAGGCGGCTCTGACCATCCAGGACTCTGACTTCCAGCTCATTAACTTCCTCAACTCCTTCGCCGCTCAGGTGGGTCACAGCTGGATTCATAGTAGGTGTACAGTAACATGTTCAAATGTGGAAAACTTTCCAGGATCATTTGGTATCCAATCCTGAAATGGATTGGAAGTGCAAAACTAAATTGCTGTAGTATTTTTTTCCAGCAATACCAGGGTTACAGTTTGAATGTCTTTAGTACATTTGACCATTATGCCATAATGTGATATCTAAATATCCTTTTTTGTGACACAGGTGGGCTTGCTAGGTATCCAGATGATATGGACGAGGGACTCTGAGGAGGCTCTGACCAATGCTCGATATGATCGTCGCATTATGTCTAAAACCAACCAGCTCTTCCTGGATCTACTTAACACACTGATTGACATGACCACAAGAGACCTCGAAGCTGTCGAGAGGACGAAGTACGAGACCCTCATCACTATCCATGTCCACCAGAGGGACATATTTGATGACCTGGTGAGTATGTTGTTAGTCATTCTATAAAAAAAGGAAACAGACATCAGAACATCAGATTAGTGACACTGTACATGACTGATACATCCATCCATCCATCCATCCATCCATTATCTATACACCGCTTAATCCTCACTAAGGTCGCGGGGGGGCTGGAGTCTATCCCAGCCGACTTAGGGCGAAGACAGGGGACACCCTGGACAGGTCGCCAGTCTGTCGCAGGGCTACACTTAAAGACAGACAACCAACCACACACACATTCACACCTACAGACAATTTAGAATCACCAATTAACCTCAACATGTTTTTGGACTGAGGGAGGAAGCCGGAGAACCCGGAGAGAACCCACGCTGCACAGGGAGAACATGCAAACTCCACGCAGAAGGATCCCGGGTGTCCTCACCGGGACGCGAACCGGCGACCTTCTTGCTGCACGGCAACGGTGCTAACCACCGAGCCACCTTGCATCCCATGACCGATACAGTGTGCATTAAGTCCTACTAGTAAACCTCGGCCGCATATAATTTCTGCTGAAGTTTACATCTAGTCAGATAATCCTAATTAGCTGCCACTTTGTACAACTGTGTTAGTCGTCATGTCAGCAGAATAAACAGTTTTAACTCCAAAGAGTACATTCTGTCAAGTGCCTTGAAAGCTTTTTTTAAATTGTGTTTGAATCTCCTCCGTAAACAGTAAATCGCTGCTTGTCTCCATGGTGACTATAACATTTTCTTTTTTTTACCTCTTACATATATTTATGTATTCTCCTCCTGACTTTACTCTCTTGCCCTTGTCCCATTCGATTTTTCCAAACATGTTTTTGCTGTCATATTAATTTTATTTCCTCTATTTTAATATTTCCACATACTGCCCTTCCCATTGTTTTTCTCCCCTTCCCTACACTTTTCTATTTAATGTATCTGTACTTAACACCCTTCTAATTCTGACTCCTGCTCTCACTGTACATCATTTTACCTCCTCATCTCCTTCTCCTTGACTCCTCTCTCTTCTGCTATCCTTCTCTGCTCTCCTTTAACTTCATTCCTTCCCATTTTTTTTTATCTCATGCCCTCTCAACTCTATTATTTCATCCTGCCTTTTTAATGTAACCTTCCTGCCACCTAATGCCCCCTATTTTTTTCTCCTGCTTTTATCTCATAACTCATCATCTCATAAATGGTGCCCTTCAATATCTAATTCTTGACTTGCCGTCTCCTGTCTCCCACTTCCCTCCATCATTCCCTCTTCAACACTCTTATTCTTTCCTCCACTAGTGTCGGTTGCATATCAAAAGCCCAAATGACTTTGAGTGGCTGAAGCAGTGTCGCTTCTACTTCAACGAGGACTCAGACAAGATGATCATCAACATCACAGACGTGGGTTTCGTCTATCAGAATGAATTTCTGGGCTGCACCGAAAGGCTCGTCATTACACCTTTGACTGACAGGTAAAGAACCATCTATGAGGGCAAACACACATGCAAGTTCTAATAAAGGCAGAATTAAAATGGTAAAAACTGTTAGTAGGCACAACACAAGATCATTTGTGTTGCACGGTTTAAGCAAGAACATCACAACCTGGGAGTAATTTCACACACAATATGATGGTACCTTTTGTAAGTAAGCCAGCATTTTTTTTAATGCCTTGATAATGTACGTGCTGCACCTCATCGCAGAAACCATTCAGAGTGAGTCGCAAGCATTTAATGGCACGCTAGTCATTAGAGATTTTCATACATCAGAGGAAAAGAAGCAATTACTTACAACAACAACAAGGTATTTTATAAAACTGCCTAAGATACATACTGTTAACTGTGTATCAGTTAATGTTCACTGTAACATCAGTTCAAGTTAAATACAGTTTCTATGGCTCACGAATGACTGCATTTGGTTAGCAGAGATACAGAGAGAGCAGTGGGAATGGGAAGAGAATAAATCAGAGAAGGAGGAGCAGGCACTCTTTCACACTGATCGTCACCTCTGTCACTGACAGAAGATATGACTGATGGAAAGAGAATCAGACAGGGAGAGAGAGGTAGAAGTTCACCAACAACCAGTGTCACACTAATAGATACAGAGATGGAAATATGAGAAGAGACAGAGAGAAGGGAATGTGAAGGGACAGCAGCAGGGAGGGAGTTACCAGCAGACATCAGACGGCAGCTCTCCAAAGAAGTGGCAGGCCGGCCTTATGGCCGAAGGTGCCAAGACAGCCCTGATTTTCTCTCTGCCATCGCTGCCTGCCTGAAACACGATCTGATTCATTCCCTTCACTTAGTATGGGCTTTGCTGTCTTTTTTTTCTTTCAGCTTCTCTGTCCTTCGTTGTCTCTGCCAGGTGTAATTGTTACCACATGGAAGCAAAAGGATAAGGATAGGAAGCTGACCTGTTTTAGAGATTCTTTTTAATAATAGTGGCCATCATGATGTTTGAATTGAGGTCAGTCATACAATATAAAGAGAAACCAGTGTTTAGCAGGGCTAAGGGCAAGCATTAGTCCTGCCCCCTGCTAAATTGCCCTTAAGCAGATTCCTGAATCCCCATTAGCTTAGGGTCAACATTCTCTCTCTGCCCTTTACCTCCATGTACAGAATCATATCACATTAGTTTTACAGACACTTTTTTTTGTAAGGAAGCACACTTTATAATCGTAAACCATATTTATTCCTGTGAAATTAAATACAAAAATATTTGTGTGTGTCTGTTTGCTCAGATGCTACATCACCTTAGCTCAGGCTCTCGGTATGAGTATGGGTGGAGCCCCTGCTGGTCCAGCAGGAACAGGTAAGACTGAAATATCTGCCTTTCATTGTTTTCCTTTATTTTTTGGCACTATGGCACTCAAACTGTACAGTTTTGAAAATAATGGAACTGAAGACTTGGATCGTGAATGCACAGCATGTCACCAATGTGGCAGCAGTATGGCATCTTAAAATTACCAACTGTTCCAAGATTAAGCTAAAGGGTTGCCAAATGATTAATGGGATGGAGTGGAGAAAAAAAAACAAAAAACTGGGTACATCATTTATTTATTTATTTTTGTTTTCTTTAATTTAATAGAACATTATAGTTTTCCCTTTAGATGTCATAGAGCTCACGTGATTTTCCAAATGAAGAATCATACAAGTGTAAAGGCCAAAATGTTTTCTAAGGTTTCCTGTCATGATAAAACTAGTTCCATCTTCGTTCATGATGTGAGAAATATGAATTTTGTTATTAGGAAAGACTGAGACCACCAAAGACATGGGTCGCTGTCTGGGAAAGTATGTTGTGGTCTTCAACTGTTCGGACCAGATGGATTTCAGAGGCTTGGGAAGAATAATGAAAGGTAAGAGTCACAAAGCAAAATGATGCTGTAGTGCTTGTGCTAAAAATTGGCAAAGCAAATAAAATAGCCTAGACTGCTTAAAGGTCAAAAAGATCTGTCCACAGTTTGAGAATTATGAGTGTGGTTATGAGTGTTGTTTTTCATTTTTGTGTAAATGAGTCACCGCTATGGTACGAGGAGAAAATATGTTTAATTTTTATGAAAAATTTTTATTTGAAAGATTCATTTTAACACAATGACCATAAAACTGCATGTTTGATCACCAGGTCTGGCTCAGTCTGGTTCTTGGGGCTGTTTTGACGAGTTTAACCGCATCGACCTCCCAGTACTGTCCGTGGCAGCCCAGCAGATTGCGATTGTTCTCACCTGCAAGAAGGAACGTCGCAAAAACTTTGTCTTCACTGATGGAGACAATGTGGATATGAACCCAGAGTTTGGCATCTTTCTTACCATGGTCAGTGACACACCAGTACTGATATTTCAAAATGTATGTGTAGAAACTATCATCAGTCTTATTTATTGTTTTTTATCAGTCAGAGAGGATTTAGGGGGGATGCAATGCCACTGTCTTTGTTTATTAAGTGAAATATTATTATGTGTACAAAGTTTCTGGGTGATATACCTGCATCTGAACACCTGTGTGCATGGAGCAACTTAGACATAAAAAGAAACTTTATTTTATAAACAAAATAAAAAATCTGAAAAAAAAAAGTCCAGCAAAAATGTTGTTTTTTTATATAAAAACATATAATAAATCTCAAATAACATAGGTTTCTAATGTGTACAATGTGTGTGTGTGTTTGTGTGTATGTATATATACTTACATATGAGTATACTTAAGTGGAATTGCACAACAGGACTTATTTTACAAGCCAGTTTGTACAATATTGAACACAAGGCTCTGCCCTTTTTTAATAATATTAGCCAGCGTTCATCAACATAGTTAGATCACTTTATCTCCTCAGCTCAGTTGATGTCCCAAGGCAAGTAATTAAACAGAGAACAGCTGAATAATTCTCTCCTGTGGGGAGAGGGGTGAAAACTAATTTTTTTAAAACTCTTTTTACAGTGCGTGTGTGTACACGTGTGTGTACAGAAATAGTAATCGAAGGCAGGCTCTGTGGAACAGAGGGTCTGAGCTGTGTCCACAGGGATTTAACTTGCTGAAGGAAGCAGTTTGCTATTAACTTTCTTGACGCTGGAGTATTAGCCCTACTCATGATGATCTTAAATAAAAACAAAGAGATGTGTATGTTGCAAATTGTACACATTTTTTTTCAGTTTCATCTTATTTAGCACTCCTGTTTTTGTTTTCCTGTCTGATCAGAACCCAGGTTATGCAGGTCGCCAAGAGCTTCCTGAGAACTTGAAGATCAACTTCCGCTCTGTGGCTATGATGGTTCCTGACCGTCAGATCATCATTCGGGTGAAACTGGCCAGTTGTGGGTTTATTGACAACATGGAGCTGGCACGCAAGTTCTTCACTCTTTACAAGCTGTGCGAGGAACAACTCTCCAAACAGGTTAAAAAAACAAACAAAAAACAGGAATTCTAAGGACTCAGCTTTAACACTGCAAACCAAATAACAAGTGCAGAGTGGTAGGCCTTGGTGAATGGAATGTGGATGAGCCACTTTAATCTGGCAAAATGTATTGAATAATAACAGACCAGTGTGTTGCTTGTAGAATTGTACTCAGTCAGTTTGTAGCAATCTGTCATTTACGCATATTGTGGAACAACAATTTTCCAAGGCTGCAGATTTATCGACATTTGTGTTGTGCAAATTAGTTTTTAAATATTTCTGAGTCATTGGAATGCATCACAAGGCTTTGCACAGCTGTCTACAAATTTTAATTTAATCTAAAATGCTGTCTGTGATTGTTCAGGTTCACTATGACTTTGGCCTGAGGAACATCCTGTCGGTTCTGAGAACACTGGGAGCAGCCAAGCGAGCAAACCCCAGTGACACAGAGTCCACCATTGTCATGAGGGTTCTGAGGGATATGAACCTTTCCAAACTGGTTGGTATAGGAAATAAACAGACGAGCATCAACTAGATGAAATTCCATTTAATGTATTGTCATGAGATAAGAAGTGAATAAGTAAGAAAAAAATCTATACACAGACCAGAATATCAAGTGTAGATTTAAGACAAACAATAGGGTTTGCTGGATTTTTGTAAATGTGTGTGCACATGTGTTTGTTAGATCGATGAGGATGAGCCTCTGTTCCTGAGCTTAATTGAAGACCTCTTCCCAGGCATCCAACTTGATAAAGCTGGCTACCCTGAACTAGAGGCTGCCATCGACAAACAGGTAGGAGGGAGTGATGAATGAAGAGCGAAATTTCCGAGAACTACAGTAGGACTGCATGACGGATGATTAGAAAGAGAGAGAAAGCGTGAAAAAGGACAGAAGGAATAATAAACAGAGGGTGAAAAAGAGATATGAACAGGCTGAGTAAAACTGGCTAAAAGCCTAATGGACTGTGAGACCACTGTATCTTTTGTGTCACTCTTAAGCGCCTTAAGATATAACACCCAAAGGGTTACAGATGGTGCCATTTAGCATTTGTCAAGGACCGAACCAAAGTATCTGTGGGCTGGATATAGAAAGTAAGAGATACAGTAAAATGTTAAGTCTGTAAATTACAGCTTTTTGTGCCTGCATTACATTATATGGCTTCACTCCTGCAGTATGCTTGTCTTTGTATCTCTGCACCTTCTTTAAATAAATGTGAACCTGTGTCTGATTCTGTCAGTACAGTACATCATACTGCCCAAATGGCATTATCAACAACATATCATTGTACTTAGTATAGTGTAAAAAAAAAAAAAAAAAAAGAGGTGAGACTAAATATAGTTAGTAGAGATGCACAGTGATATCAGCTGTAATGTTTTAGGGTGAAATATCAGCATCAAAATGAAAATGGCATGTTTAATGTGTAATTTGACATAGTTTGAATTCAATATTTTTTTTAACTTAGTGTTTTTTAGGATTGAAAAGCATTCTTTTTCTTTATATCGGCATCTGACAGTGGGCTATTACAATAAGAGCAGGCATAATGATACGGTTAAAATGTCGACATATGCGATCAATCGAAATGAGCTCGTAAAAACGATACAGCAGATTTAGATGAAAATCCATCCATCCATCCATTATCTATACACCTCACTAGGGTCAGGGAGAGGGGGCTGGAGCCTATCCCAGCTGACTTAGGGCAAAGGCAGGGGACAACCTGGACAGGTCGCCAGTCTATCACAGGGCTACACTTAGAGACAGACAACCAAGCACACTCACATTCATTAGATGAAAATCCAATATTGTGAATTATTTTTAGTTGGAACTTCATATATATTTTGCTCCTTCAGGTTGAAGATGCAGGTCTGATCATTCACCCTCCCTGGAAGTTAAAGGTCATCCAGCTGTTTGAGACTCAGAGGGTCCGACATGGTATGATGGCTCTGGGACCCAGTGGAGCTGGAAAGACAACTTGTATACACACTCTGATGAGAGCTATGACAGGTAGGATTTTGCGCATGTTTGTGATGTGTGTTTCAAAAGAGACATAATTTGTGATAAGTTGACTGATGTTGAAAATTGTCTATTAGAAAAGAGTTTTTCCCCTTGAGTTTAAGGTGACACCTCACAAACCAAGAGAACATATCTGTTCAAGGTGGTTGGTAGACACTAATATCTGAACATGGTTCCAGAACAATACATGATAAAAAACTTGCACTGATTTCCCTGCACATGACTCCAGTGGAGACGGAAACCAGTTCAGTGCTTTTCTTGAACTGAAAATGGCAGCAGGTGGGCAGATAGAGGTGGTCAGCATTGGGAACAAACAGGTTACCAGACAGAAGAGCAGAACAACACCAGGAGCAAGAATGATGCAACAAGCTGATTTGAAAATGAGAAGCAGGAGAGGTGGATGTTGGGGTCAGGGATGGGTGATTAGAGAATGATTGGAAGGAAAGTATGAAGACATGTGATGATGGATGAAGACTGATAAATGAGAACAGAAATTTCCAAAGCACTTTAAGATAACAAGTTCAAATTGGAATTGGTAGGATATGTGTAATATACAAATACATGACTTGTTGGTATAAAACATTGCTGTTGAATGAGGTAATTGGCTTAATTGGGGTGAAAATGATTTGTGAATACAATAACTTACAATCAAAACTTAACGGAAAATTCATACTTAATGTATGGAGTAGATATGTGATTAGATTTGTCTGTAACTTGTTGCATGCATTTGTATATGACTGGAGTAAAAATTGATCTATTTTGTACCTCTGTTGACATTCTTGATGACAATCCACTTGTACTGTCAGCATGCATGATCTTTGTTCTAAACAATCCTGGAGACACATAAGACAATCCAAGTGCCTCTTGTGTTTGTATTTTTGTATGAATATATATTGATATATATCAACATCATCTTCTCCCAGAGTGTGGTCAACCTCACAGAGAGCTGCGCATGAACCCTAAAGCCATCACAGCACCGCAGATGTTTGGTCGGCTGGATGTGGCAACAAACGACTGGACTGATGGCATCTTCTCTACACTTTGGAGAAAAACACTAAGAGCCAAGAAAGGTCAGAAAAGTTTCATACTCAGCACTGGTTTCATACTTTGGAAAACTTAAGCTTAAAATCAGTAGTGGGTGAGTGTACTGCACTCAGTTATCCAGAGAAATAAGACTACTTTAACACAAAACATAGATGAATTTCAAAATAATTTTCAATCTTTTTGTTATTATTTTTATTGTTATTTTCTAAATAGTAAAAAAGTACTTCACAGGGAGATCAACACAAGCTGTAATGGCTGCTTAAGTGGCAAATGAGGAGGTTTCGTAACTGTATCCTCTCAACATTAGATGAAGAGGGGAATTATTAGACGGATGATCCCTTTTCAGACAAGATTTTGTTTTTCTCAAATGAGTCATTCTGGTAATCTGAGGGTTTCTTTTCTTTTTTCTTTTTTTGGAGGGGGGGAGACAATGGCAACTCTGAACCCCCCCCCCCAAAAAAAAACAAACAAAAAAAAACAACAAAAAAACAGTTGAAGTATGTCATTATGTTGCAGAGAAGTATAAATGTCTTGGGACATCCTTAGTTCAAAGCGGAACCAACAACTGCTTTCTCTTTCTACTCAGTCCTAAGCCTACGCACATCATTAAAAATGCATGTGTGCAATGATATGAATATACATTACAAGTGTTTGCTTTTATGTGTCACAATATGCATTGGCTGTATTAGGTATATGTTCTAATGGAGCTGTGCATTTCTTTGAGATGGATGCATTCCCTGTGTTTGCTTTAGTGCAGTGTATTTGCGCAGCTTGTTGGTTTAAATAATTGCTTTTGAATTTAGTATTCTGTGGTGAACAAAAAAAAAACGCCTGTGAAAACATATGTTGTAATTCAACTGATGCAGAAACAACATTCCGTGACTTATCTGTTTTAATTAAGTTCTAATTACATTTTTAAATTATCTAAAATCACAACATATGTAATCTCAGAGCACTAGTAAGGTTAAGACCTTGCTATATTATAGAGAGATATAAATTTTTGACTGAGGAAGCACAGGGAGACAGTGGGAATGAAAAAAACAATCTATAAAGATGAAGAAACCTCCTGCAGAACTAAGAGTCAGGATGAGCGGAGAGAGAAAAGATGGGTAATGACAAACAATATAATGATCAACATTGCACAAGATATACCTGCAGGAAGGTGCAGGGAGAGAGAAGACAGAGAACAAGTGAAGAGAAGACAGAAAGTTAGATGTGCAATAGTGGCATATAAATGCATGGAGACTAAAAGAGAGGAGAGTAGAGGAGCTCAGTGCCTCTTGGGGGGTCCCTCAGCGGATGAGGCCTAATGCAGCAGAACTAAGGGAAGGTTCAGGGTCACCAGAGCCTCAGTCTAATCTTAAAAGTAGACAGGGTGTCAGCCTCCTGAGCCCAAACTGGGAGCTGCTTCCATGGCAGAGGAGCCTGACAGCTGAAGGCTCTGGCTCCCATGCTACTTTTAGAAACTCTAGGAACCTCCACTGAGTCTTCACTCTGAGACTAAAGTGCTCTATTGGGATAATACGGTGCTATGAGGTCGTTTAGATATGATGGAGCTCGGTCGTTATTGGATTCATATCTGAGGAGGAGGATTTTGAATTCTTGTCTAGATTTTACAGGGAGCTAATGCGGTGAAGGGACTATGGGAATAATGTGATCTCTCTTGCCAGTTCATGTTAATATTCTCTCTGCAGCATTATGGATTTAGGGGAGGATTTTCAGAGAGTTAACGGGATATCCTGATAATAAGGAATTCCATTAATTCAGCCTAGAAATATCAAATGCATTGGCTAGTTTTTCAGCATCACTTTGAGAAAGGGTGTTCTGATCAGACAGCACTGCACATGTGAATAGACTTGTTTTATGCGTGAGTTAAAGGACATCAAAAATAACATCGAGGTTTTTCACTGTAGCGCTAGAGGTCAAGGTAGTGACATCTAGAGTGGGTATCTGGTTTGGTAATATGCTTCTGAGATGTTTTGCCTGAATTTGGAAGTAGAAAGGAGTTTAATCTTCATAAATAAATATAGGTGGGTGTCATCTCCATAGCAATGGAAATGTATGCAGCGGTCTGCTGCAGTTTTTAATGACTGTGTACTGTAATTGGGTGAGTAAATAAATACATGAATGAATGGATGGATGGATGGATGGATGGATGGATGTTTTGTCTTTCTTCGCTTCTATAGTCTTGGTTATAAGAGAGAACAACACAAGATTAATGTATCTGAAAAATATCAACATACATCAAAAATATTCATCATCTCAACACAGAATAACCGTAAAACGATACAACTGGAGTTTTTTCAAGGCAAATCAAGAGGTAAGGGCAAATTATATCAAGACATGATTTAGTCACATCTCCCCACCCCTTTTATGTGGTACAGCATGGTATTAATTAACATTACATGCTGATGAAAAAATAATTTGCATACCACAGTTTTGCATTGATGCAAAGACTGACAAAGACTTTATTTGTAAAAAATATTTTAATCATAGCTATATTAATTTTCTCAACAGGCCCTTCCCTGAGGTTGTCTGATGTCACACCTATACAATGGTCACAGGCAAACCCCCTCACTTGCTAAACATCTGTGCATCAATAGACAACTGTTATTTACAGTTGGTACTTAAATGCCTCACAGTAAGATGTGTGACCAAAAATGACTTTGAAAAGAATGAAATAAAGAGTTCTAAGGTTAGATTTACCCAAGGTGCATGGGCCGTTTCAGTTTTCTGAGTTGAGTTGTCTGAACACGTTTTAAAAATGAATATAGTTGCTCATATTGACATAATTTTGGGAAGCTGCAATCATGGTTGTGGCTAGTTTTCATTTATTTTGCAGCCCCAGTACAGCTTTAGCCATCGCAATTAAATGCAGTGCTGTTCCTTTTTCACTTGGTCAGTCGGTGATTTCTTGCCTGCACCCTTTATTATAAGGACTGTCTGAGTCTGACCTGTCTTTCTCCACCAGCCAGTAGAATAATCAGCGTCAGAGCGCTTTATCTTTGGGACACACACCTGCCAAATAGCTTGTTACATGCATCAGGCCAGGACAGACTGACAATGTCTCACAGAAGGGCAGGACTGAGGGGAAGACGGTGCAATTACAAACCTATCTGCACCATGGATTTATCAATACACAGCACAGTTAAGCTACTGATGTTTCAGAGCTATAGCTGGGGCCGGAGAATCTATCTTGCACTGATCTCGCTTAGATAAAGGATCAGTGGGTCAGTCAGGCTAGACTGACATGTTCCACGAAACCACCCATCTGTTAGAGGATGGACAGGTTGGATGGCAGGCTCACAAGGGGAATAGCATCCCCCCTCCAATCACGCACTGCATGCAATAAACAAAAAAATCACTGCTTCTTCCCTCAGGAGAGCACATCTGGTTAGTCCTGGATGGACCCGTTGATGCCATCTGGATTGAAAACCTGAACTCAGTTTTGGATGACAACAGAACTCTCACGCTGGCAAATGGAGACCGAATACCGATGGCTCCCAACTGTAAGGTGGTTTTTGAGCCACATAACATCGACAACGCCTCTCCAGCCACTGTCTCACGCAATGGAATGGTGTTCATGAGCTCCTCTGTGCTCAACTGGAGTCCTATACTGGAGGTGAATGAACTAAATATAAAACTGATTTTATTTATCTTTTTTCCTGGGACAGATATTTAAAATTGCAGCGCTCATGGTGTGGTATGACAGTATGCACCTGCAAATAACACAGATAACAATACATGGAGTTCCTTTGAAATGGTGGTAAACACTGACACTGTGTTAGATCTAAATCCAAAAATGCCTGAAAAGGGCAAATAATTTTTCACTTCAGATTCACATATGGCTAGTCATTCCTGCAAGATCTTGGAAGAAGCTAAAAATAAACATCACACAACTGGACTGTAGCATTGTTAAAAGCACACACACACCATGTTATTTGGCACTAATGCAATTCATGTAATCGCAACTAACGGCAGTGATGTGCTGGTCTCAGGGCTGGTTGAAGAAACGTTCCCCCCAGGAGGCAGATGTTCTGAGGGAGCTCTTCTCCTCCTCCTTCTCTGACCTCTACCGCTTCAGTGTGCAGTCACTAGAGTTCAAGATGGACATGCTGGAGGCCTTTGTTATCATGCAGTGCATAAACATGCTGCAGGGACTCATACCACCAAAGGTAGGGTTACAGCTGGTCTGAAATTCTATCCACATTTACAGACGGCACATTACACACTGTATATTGTATATGTTGTACAATCATACTGCCAAGAACAAAAAATGACTGCTGAGGTGAAAGGGGAAATCTGTACTGATTGAAAGAATTTGCAATTTTTTTCTGTTCCAAACAGTTGCAAGCAAGTTGAGAAAATGTTCTCTTGGCACTTTTAGAAAGAGCCAGCACAGAAGGTCTTGCTTTTTTAAGGTCATTGTGGTTATAGCTGTCATCATAGCAGTTATTCTCATTAGTAGTCATGAGTTAAAGTAATAATAATTCACCATCTCTATTTTCAAAGGAACTTGTTTTTCCTTTGAATTTACTTGTAGGTGCAGATTCCATGAAACTTGACCAGATTTACTGAGATTGCCTTGTAGGCATTTTTTTTGTTTTAAATATTTATAATTGCTGTATAAGCTGGGGGCTACAAGGTCTCTTAGTGGTTAGCACTGTTGCCTCGCAGCAGGAAGGTTGCCGGTTCACGTCCCGATGAGGACATCTGGGATCTTTCTGCGTGGAGTTTGCATGTTCTCCCCGTGCAGTGTGGGTTCTCTCCAGGTTCTCCGGCTTCCTCCCACACAGTCCAAAAACATGTTGAGGTTAATTGGTGACTCTAAATTGTCCGTAGGTGTGAATGTGAGTGTGCTTGGTTGTCTGTCTCTCAGTGTAGCCCTGGGATAGACTGGCGACCTGTCCAGGGTGTCCCCTGCCTTCTCCCTAAGTCAGCTGGGATAGGCTCCAGCCCCCCCTAGCAACCCCAGCGTGGATTAAGCGGTGTATAGATAATGGATGGATGTATACGCTGGAAGCCATCACTTTTAATTTCCAGTTTAAGCCAATAAACCCTAATTAAAAACTGGTACATATGTTTATTATCCTACATTTTCCTTAAACATGATGTGCTCCTCTCATCTTTCAAGCATGGTTTTGGATCCCTTCTTGATGTAAAACGCTTGTCACTCTACAGGAGCAGTGCGGTGAGTTATCCAGAGTGCACTTGGAGCGGCTGTATGTCTTCGCCCTGATGTGGAGCACCGGAGCCTTACTTGAACTTGACGACCGGAGGAAGCTGGAGATCTGGCTCAGAGGAAACAACAGTATCCGTCTAAACTTGCCAGACATTCCACCTCACAGCGAGGACACCATGTTTGACTACCATGTCACATCAGATGGTAATTGTGCAATTATGAACTGATGTTTTCACCCAAAGATGCCACAAAAATATTGAAGCTGATCCTTTACAAGCAGAATCATTATGCCTCAAGTTACACTTATTTTTAAAGAATGTGCACGTTAAACAAATCGTGCAGTGACATGCTGAAATGTCTCTCACATTGGAAAATTTCTTGGAAGCATCGGTGTCATATTTTGTGCTGATCTCTACTCCATGCTTTATTTTTTTAATGCAGTGAAATTATCTTCCAGGTCATTGGATCCATTGGAGCATCAGCGTGGAGGAATACGTTTATCCGTCAGAAATCACCCCAGAGTACAGCTCCATCTTGGTACCCAATGTGGACAATGTCAGAACAGACTTCTTAATTCAAACCATCGCCAAGCAGGGCAAGGTGAAGTTACCAACATATATAGTATAAGTAGTATATCTGTGTGCTGCCTTTGTATTACCTGTGTTGCATATTGTGCAAACTATATGTGCAGATGTAATAAATTAAACAACAAAAACAACCAAAAATCTTGTAAGGTGTTGGACCACCACCAGGATACCTTGTTAGTGATTCTCCAAGTCTCCAAAACCCTTACTGGAAGGATGGAACCCCATTTTTCTGAGAGCTATTCCTTCATTTGGTGTTAGATTTGACGATCGTAGTGAAGAAAATCTTCCATAGGGGTTCAATTGGTTTGAGATTTCTTGATTGCTAAGACCATAGCCTGTGATTGCCATCTTTTTCATACTTAAAATGCCCCCCACAGCATAACAGAACCACTAGCTCCCTTCACTGTAGGGGTCAAGCTTTCAGGCCTGCAACGTCCTCCTGGAGTATGCCTCATTTATAGTCGTGCACTTGTTGGGGAATGTGATGAGCAGTGACTAATTTGTCCATATTGTCTTTTTTCACATCTCTGTAGAGAAGTGCCTATGCTTAAATATACAGTATTCTTTATAATGAAGGGTTTGTGTACTGCAGTGCTACTGTAATCTTTTTAACATTCAAAGTGCTAATTTTCCTTTAACATTCTCAGTCACCTGAGGAAGACTTGCTCCTCTTTTTTTCCCCTCACATACCACACTAATGCACACACATCACAGTCTTCAAATGTAGATCACAACCCGATTTATTGATTTCTTTCTCATAGATCTAAATGCAAATGTCCCTCTAGTCATTGTTCTTATTACAGTGCTAGCTGTTGAGCAGTCTTTCTAACGTGGCATGTCAATAACCTCTCTTTCAGAGTCACATAGATCTTTTCCTCTTATTATCTTGCCACAATATCACAATTGATATCTTAACACACACCACAGAGTACAACTGAATGCTAATTGCTTAATTATACCATGCAATGCACCTGTGAGGAAGCAGCTGCATTTGTTAGGTTTCTCATTTATGCAGGTTTGTCCATTCATTTGTCACTTCTATGCATATATACATATATATGCTACATTCAGAAAAAAAAAAAGCCAGCGAATGAGTTTAAAGTCTATAATAGTATAAAACAAATGTGTTTCATGTGTCTGGATGTTGGGTTGATATACTGGATGTTTTCATGGGATGAAACACTGCCTCATGCTTTCATCATTTCAAGAAATGATGAAAAATGAAGCTGTAAACAGTAACATTTAGTATATATACTTTCCTTGTCATATCTTTTATAAGACCTGATTTAAAGGTTTCAAGAGGTCAGAGACACTGAATCACTTCTAAACTCAAGAAAAGTATAATGCTACCCGAATACAGCTGAATAGACACATATGCAAACACTTCAGTTCATAACAATGGGTGGACGCAGCAGGGCTCTATTAAGGAATGAAATTAAGATACAGTACTCGCTTCTTTATTAAAAAGCCCATAAAATGCTTCACCATCTGGCATTCATCATAGTGTGTTTGAGTGTATTTCTGTCTGTATGTTTTGCTGTCATGTCTATGTGATTCATAGTTCCACTGTATGAGCGTAGGACAGTTTCACTGTAAGTGTCTTTGTAAATAGATGGGGTAAGCTTTTGTTTACTTCCATTCATTTAAGAAGCTCCTTAAATTCCATTATCTGCTACTGGCTAAATCTGATTTGCTTTTTCTACAAGCTGATGGATATTAATTCTAGTCCTGACTTCATTATGTTAAGCGATGTTAAAAATCTGTCATGTAAAAATCTTTGGTGACTGATAGACAGTATTATTATTTTAAAGATTATTTTTGGGCCATTTGAGCCTTTATTGTAGCTGAGGAGAGATGGGAAACAACCAATTGTGTTGCACCCAACCAGTATTATTTTTTTTATTATTATTTATTTTATATGATACCGTTCAATGCTCCCATCAACAGACTGTGTTGTTAGATTGAAGCTCTGCACATTACAGACTCATTTGTCAGTTCTTATCTAATCGCTTTGTTGAGAGTACAAGCCTGTGTCATTAGTCGAAGTATTGATTTGATAAATTGATGAATTGGTAATCGACTAGCATAATGAGTAATCTGAAGAAATTACTTAAATTGTTATCTTATGCTACTTACTTGAGCATTTATCTTGTGATGTTAAGGCTACTTAAGAATGCCTTCTCTATGTCTCTTTCATCTGTATTGTCCATGTTGACCTCTGAGTAGCGCATTGTTTTATTCCAGAGCCATGAAAAGCAAAAGTTTTGAATGGATTGAAGATGCTCATTGAAGTTTGAGGACACAGCAAACCATTTTTTCTTTCTTTCTTTTTTCCCCCCCCCCAAACATCTAGCTCAACAGAATAATGTCCATTTCAGGTTGATGTTCTTCATCAGTCTTGTTAGCCTGTAACATACCATGGAATGTATATTATTTACATTTTTGTCTTCAATGGTAATTAACTGATGAAAAATCTGAATTTTTTGTTAAAGGCTGTTTTGCTGATAGGAGAGCAAGGGACAGCAAAAACGGTCATCATCAAGGGCTACATGTCAAAGTACGACCCCGAGACCCACATAGGAAAGAGTCTCAACTTCTCCTCTGCTACCACACCGCTCATGTTCCAGGTAAAGCAAGGAAATCTGCTTACTTTCCTCTTAATTAGTTTGATGCTAAGCTATTAATTTTTTTTTCCGATGCTGCATGCTCTACAAACTGTGTGTGACCTTTTCATGAACTTGTGTAATATTGATGATTAATTAAACATATGCAGGTCAGAGGGAGGAGCACTGCCTTCTGCCTGTACATGCCTAAGCTTCACATTGATCAAGCTGTCACAAATAATTACGTCTCAACGGAACATAAAAGATGTGTTTTCCTTCTCCCTCATGTTTGTTGTCTTTTTCTTGTTTAGAGGACAGTAGAGAGCTACGTGGATAAGAGGATGGGAACCACATATGGACCCCCTGCTGGGAAGAAAATGTCCATTTTTATAGATGATATCAACATGCCTGTAATCAATGAGTGGGGAGACCAGGTGTGGGATCTCTAGTTGTTTTCTTTTGTTCTGGTATCCACAAAAAAAAAAAGTATTTATTTTGTGGATTTATGTGTTTATTTTGTTCATATAGTATATAATATTTGGAAATGTTAATTTTGCACATTTCAGTGACCTAATTTAATGATGCATCTAAATGATCTGATGACAATTGTAAAGTAGAACATGACTTTCAAACAAAAAAGACCTCTTCTTAATTTAAAATGACTTTTTGCTCTTCATTATAGGTGACTAATGAGATTGTCAGGCAGCTGATGGAGCAGAATGGATTCTTTAATTTGGAGAAACCAGGAGAATTTACCAACATTGTGGACGTTCAGTTCCTGGCAGCTATGATTCATCCAGGAGGAGGCCGTAATGACATACCGCAGAGACTGAAGAGGCAGTTCTCCATCTTTAACTGCACCCTGCCCTCCAATGCTTCCATAGACAAGATATTCGGTCAGTTTAACAGATTCATGTGTCAGGGACTGCAGATCGATATTAACCTGCACAAACAAATCTGGCACATTTACATGATAAACCCAAGAGCTCATGTTAATTAATGTCATTAAATAAAAAAACCTAAATGTTATTGATTCACAGTATGTAACATATCAAAACATTTCATCATAATTTTGTGTTTTCTGATACCAATTACTATTCATCGTCAAACTGCTAAAAACACAGTGAATGAAAAGTGTATTTTGCTTTACTTCCTTATATGTTTTTGCTTCAGTGATGAACTGATAAATCACCCGTTAAGAATCTTATACAATTGTTTGAAATTTATAACTAATCCTACCATCAACCTGATCACACAGGTGTGATTGGGGAGGGCCACTTCTGTGCCCGTCGTGGTTTCACGGAGGAGGTTCAGAGCACCGTACCTCGCTTGGTGTCTCTGACCCGCCACCTCTGGCAGCTGACAAAGGTCAAGATGCTTCCAACTCCTGCAAAGTTCCACTATATCTTCAACCTGAGGGATCTGTCCAGAGTCTGGCAAGGCATGCTCAGCACCAGCGCCGAGGTGGTTGACTCTGTCCAGGTGAGTTTTAGTGTCTTATAATAACCTGAATTCTAAAATGACATGTTATTAGGAAACATGGAGTATATGTCAAGATTTCTGCTGGAGAAACAACAGGGTTGCACGGTTGTTACAAAGCAGAACATACAAGTCAAGGATTCAGACAGTGTAAGTGGCTGCAGTGAAACGGGATGACAAAAAACTATAGCAAGGTGCTTCCCTGAATCTAAAATAATTGAATCAAACATTCAGCTGACAAGGAGTCTGTATTAAATCAGCCCACGTAAGTCTTGAACCATGTTTCGAACTGCATCATCGATCCAAATGCAAAAAAAAAAAGCCTAATTTAATTATACACTCGAAATATGCCAACCATACTTTTACAGTAACCAGGTTACTCCAGTGCTTTAATCTGATTTCTATCAGCAATGTGGTTTTGTGCATGTAAATAGTGCATAGAGAGAAGCACAGTAAAGTGGCACAGAGTAGCACAGTAAAGTGTGGCACAGAACACTGTGCTAGACTAGTGCAGGAGGCTTGGCAGGATGATCAAAACCGTCTGCTTATGTGACTTGAATGACTAGATATATTATGGAGCAATATATTTAAAATAGTGGAGAGAGATGCAAGTAAGGGAAGACAAGAATGAATAAGAAACATCTCAACATCTAAAATTCTGGCATTGCAAGCTCACTTCTTGCTGAGGTGACCGACTCCCAATTGGTTTGCGTTGAATAATTGAATACAGTGAAATACATCTTCTACCTCAGGCTGCCCCGAATGTAGGCAAACATGTTCAACATCCCTGCTGAGGCTGCCAACACAACTCAGACGACTTTAGACTATGTACGGCAAAACCAGAAACAATCAATTAAACCGCTCAACCAGAATGCAAGAGTTTACAATATGAATTTATGTAACTCGAGGAATTTCAGTTCGAGAAAGTATTCCAGTCTGTCTCAGCTCAATGATTTTCTTCGCATGTTTGAATCTTTTTCTCTGTAACCTTCTCATCAAAATTGCACTGTCCTTCCAATAGGGAACAAAACCGTTCCTTCCCATCAGTGCGATTCGTTACCTTTCCTTCTACGAGAATTAATACATGCTTGAATAAAAACATTAACATAAAAAACATGATTTTCCAGGTGCTGCTGTCACTGTGGAAACACGAGTGCAAACGTGTGATAGCAGATCGATTCACCATGCCCGATGACGTGGAGTGGTTTGACCAGGCTCTGGCGAAGCTGGTCGATGAGCAACTTGGCAAGGAGCACAAGAATATAGTGGACTATGGAGTGGACAGATACTTTGTTGACTTCCTACGGGATGCCCCTGAAGCTACAGGTACTGGTGAATCAAAATACATTGCATTTGTGGATTTCCTAAGTGTTGTGGCTCTCTCTTTGATTTGTAAGAAGATAATTGAATGTAAAATCTTCTTTTCTTACAGGGGAAGAACCGGAAGATTCAGACTTTGATTTGCCAAAGGTGTATGAGCCTATTGAATCCTTTGAGAGTTTAAAAGAACGTCTGAACATGTTCTTGAGCCATTACAATGAGAGCATCAGGGGCACTGCCATGGATATGGTCTTCTTTCAGGATGCTATGATACATCTGGTCAAGGTAGAGATCTTTCATCATGTACCCATATTCGTGTGATGAAAGAAAAGCAAAGATTAGGAAAAGTTGATAAAGTTTTATTCTCTACAGAACAGAATATAAAGACTTATATAAGAGTATGCACGCAGTGTACTTTCTTAAAACAGAAAAAAAAGTCAAACTTAAACTGTAACAAACTCAGCAGCAGAGCCTTTATTTATTAGCCTATATATTGGCTTATTAAGATGTTATGGCTCAGGTGTTACCAATGAAGTGGTTACACATTCAACAGGAATTGACATTTGAGTTACGCTTGCTGTCACCTAAAAAATAGTAGCTTTTGTTAAGAGGATCAAGCTTTTTTTCTTTTCAAAATCCTCAATCCTCAGACAGCCTTCAAACCCCAAAATATTGTACCAGTTTTGTTATATAACATGACTTGTGGAACTCTCCAATGCTCACAGGCACTTACATTCAAAGTTTGTGTTTGGCTTTGTGTGCGTAGGTGTCAAGGATAATCCGTACAGCTGGAGGTAATGCCTTGTTGGTGGGTGTTGGAGGTTCTGGCAAACAGAGTCTGACCAGACTGGCCTCATTCATAGCTGGATACAAGATCTTCCAGATCACTCTCACGCGGTAATGTTCGCACACACACAAACACAATCACACACATCCTTACCATAGCTATAATGTATCCTTGCTTAATTATAACCACATGATGATATCTAATGTCCTTTATGCAAAAAACAAAAAAACAAAAAACCCAAAACTAAACTACAAAAAACACAAAGATTCTAGGATGGCTATAATACCGTCTTGTCAATTTAGACTTTAAAAAACAAACAAAAAGCATTCCAGGTCCTTTGGAAAAGTCTTGTTTCTTGTTAACTATTCACAAAAATCTCCAACAGTATCTTCAGGTTGTAGCTGTTTATGGCCCATGAATGATAACAATTCATTAGGTGTTGAATTATTACATTGTATAAATAGAAACTAAAACAAAACAGGGCCACACATTTAAAAATCAAGACCAAACATACTTGCTTTTTTACATAATATAAATATTGTGTGTCATGCTCACCATTTGAGAGAGATTCATTATTCATCCTTCAGGAGCAGCAGGCAGCATAAATTAATTGCTGTTCCAGGATACGTTGCGAAAGAAATTCAATCAGATTGATATTAATTGTGTAATATCTTGGCAGCTCTGGCCCCTCTTGATCTGATTCTTCTCCGTAAAACAATATCGCTGCTTCCTGGGAGACTCTTTTCAGTGAAGTTGGGGGAAAAAAAAAAAAAACCCTCTCCTTTGCTTTAACTGTGTCATTTTTCTCTGCTTGTTCTGCTTGCTCTGTCCTGCACTCTGTCTTCCTCATTGTTCTGCCTCATTCTGGCCTCTGTCTCACTCTCCCAATATGTCAAATGTTTTTTTTTTCTTTCTCCCTCAGTCCCCAAGCGCTTTTCTCGCCTTCCCATCGGCAAATTTTTAGCGTTTGCTATTAATATGAATGAACCTCATGTTTCTCCTCTTGATTTCACTGCCATCTCATGAGAAAACTGCACCTCTACTGTTTGTCTCATTCCATCTTTTTCATCTGCTCTTCTCTCTAACACGCAAAACACACACTGACACTTGTCTTTTCCATTCACATCTAGGACAGATTCCTTTTCATGCAGACTCAATTCGATTCCACTCACTGTAACGTGAACGTGTAACATCATGCAAACAATCTACTTCAAACTTGGTCGTATTAACACTGATTCTCTTACCAGATATTTATCTTTTTCATGTCCTCAGTTCCTTTGTTATTTTTGTGTTTACCTATGGGATACACCCCCTTGTGTATTCACAGAAGCACTTACCATTCCAGCGGCCCTGAGTGGCTAGCAGTCATAATGTCTGTGTAAAGGCCTGTCTAACACAACGTCACTTGTCATTCCATCAGCTCTTCTCACATCAGGGACCAAGCTGTTTTTTTTTTTGTTTGTTTGTTTGGTTTTTTACTTGTATCTCGTGTGGAAACCATCTTAATTGTTCTCAGATTTACATTGTTTGCAGACACTACCAGTCTGACTTCCTTTACAGAATATTTGGGCTTTTTTTGAGCTCGTTAACCTATTATTTTAGTGATCCAAACAGCAGTCTTTTCCAACAAGCCTGGTGACTTCTCACTGCATGCCTACTGTAGAATTCTTTTCCTATTTTTAGCACTAAATGGATTCCAAACTGCCTCCCACCGTGGGTTTCAAAGCCCATCTGTGCACATGTGGAACAGAATTTTGAGCAAAATACACATACGAGGCTTGCTGTATGTCTCTAAGGCTAGGACCCAATTAAGCTGCAATAAAAATCCTTGCTCATGCAGTGGCTGTGCTCAGTTCACCGTGCAGAGCCTCCTTCAAACGCTGTCAGACCGGAGCAGCCCCAGCTCAGGATCCTTGAGAATAATCATCACACTGAGGCGCAGCACTGGGGCTCAAAGCTAAACATGCTGGTCGAGATGCTTTGATTTTGTTAGAAAAAGATGTAAGTTGGTTATTACTTTCCTTTGAAAGGTGGACATGATGAAGATAATTCTTCTTTTGCCTCCCCAGACTGTCAATTCTCTCTCCGTGCAGGTAGGGGCAACAGGGAGGCTGCACAGTGCACATGCACAGTGTGACCAAAAGTACAGCAGAGAGGCAGAAATATCATCATCTACAGTCCAGAGCTCAGTGGGCAATGCCATCCTTCGGCTCTCTAACAGCAGTGATTGCATATGAGTCTAGTTCATGCTTTGCATAATTATTTAGAGAGGATGATTTCTTTTAGAGTAGGTAGCTATTTCTTGTTTTTAGTGGGACAAAACCAAACAAAGGTTTCCTTATTAGATAATTAATGCTATTACATTAGTGTCTTTACATCTCTTTCCCTCAGCCTCCAGCTATAATATGAGTCTTGCAGCCTTATGGGCCCAGATTTGGTCGGTCCCTTGCTAGGATATCTGTGCATCTGTGCTACAGCTAACTGGTCACCACTCCTCACATGTGTAAGATTTTATAAGTCAGATACCCTGTCTGGAAATACATATATCATTGTGAGACATCAGAATGAGTGGTGTGACAGAGAGCTCCAGGCTCCCTGCTTAACCCCATTTCTGAGAAGCAGGAGTGAAATGTGTCACCAGACAGGCTTTCTAGCTGCTGGGATGAGGCGAGAAAAAGGTGAACTTGTTTTGAATAGCGAGCGTTGCTGCATTTCGTCTGACACAGATGTCGTAACTGTCAGCCGCTCAGGGCTCATCTAGTATTATATGTTGTTATGAGAGTACACAACGGGTACTACAGCGAGACATCCGACTGATGCTCATCAGAGAACCAAGATAATGAAAGTAACCCAAGGTTTCTCTCTCATGTTTCAATGCAACTAATCCTACCAATTATTATTCTGCTTTCACTCTAATTTATTTTTCATCTGCCCTTTGTATAATTCATTCAAGTTCACAAACAAATACACAGATGGAGACACAACCCAGGAAATGCTTCTTTATCAGCTTTTGAAGTCAGACATGTATCAGTCTGCTAATTTAAAAAATTACCTCTTCCACCAAGAAATAGGACCTACAACTCAAAAATCTGACACTTTTCAGTGTTTACACACACAGTTCTGTTTAAGTGTGTGAGTGACAATTTTCTGTGTTCTGTTTGACAGTTTATATTGTATTACACCAGACTGTATGCTCATGGTCAAAGTCTTTAGATTACTGTTCAAAATAGTTTATTCTTAGAAAGAAATCTGAGAATCTGTGTGTAATTATGTCTCCTCGTGAAAATCAGTGTGCAGATTAATTTTATGTTTTCTATCCTTTTCCAGCTCATACAACACAGCCAACCTGATGGATGACCTCAAGGGTTTGTACAGAACAGCTGGCCAGCAGGGAAAAGGCGTCAGTTTCATCTTCACTGATAATGAAATCAAAGATGAGTCATTCTTGGAGTACATGAACAACGTCCTGTCATCTGGAGAGGTCAGAAACACACATGTATTTAATGTGAACTTAAATGTACATTATACATTCAACCTGACGATTTGCTGAGCTGAGATTCTTGGATCAAGTTCAGATTTATGAAGGCTCTCACAATCCTTGAATGAAATAAACATTTCATGACCATGATGCCAAGAAAAGCCATGTAGCCTCTACCTCGGTTATAAACAGTTCAATTTATATCAATTCAGTCAAATTAAAAGAAGCTAATTACATTTTGCTTGCCAATACGGTTGCTTTCATAATTATTTTCTTGTTGATTAAGATGTAATGAAAAGAAACCGTCATGGCGAGGACAGTGAGATAAGAGTCTCTGAACTGCAGAGCTCTGCATTACAGCTACAGAGTGGCTTTTTCCTGTATTCTGTAGCGCCAGGCAGCTTCAAGGTCAAGTGCCACTGTTTGCACATTTCTCTGCTGCACACCCAGAATCATCCACCGTACTGGATCTGGTGGCTGTGGTGTAACTGAGGCAAAAAAAAGTAATTTCTACAGCAATTTTTTCTGCTCTTTTATTTAACATGCTCTCTGCCCTCTTCTTCTGCTTCCTCACCTCCTACTCTTACACATTTTCCTACTCTCTCCTTCCGTTTTATGTTGTCTCTTATCATTACTACTCATCTTGTTTCCTGTTTTCACTCTCTGTTTTGTTCTTTCTCCATTTTTCTTCATTTACCTCCCTCCCCCTTTGTCCTTTTCTATGAGTACTTCCTTCAACTCCAGTGTTGTTTTCTATTCTAGTTTTTTACAGGATTTATACCTGTGTCCCTTCACGCTTTGTTTTTCTCTCGGTTATTTATCATGGTTATGCATGTTTCCTTTACATCTCATCTTTAGATAATCCAGTTTCCACCTTGCTTCCTATCCTAATCCTCCTGTCTTCCCTTTTCTCTTCTTTGTCACAAATTTTTCTCCTCCTTCCTATTGTTTTAGTTTATATTAACACTGGAGAAGTAAACATATCATCGCAGATGCCATCACAGTAAAAGAGAAAGAGAATGGCATTATATGTATGTATGACATCACCAAATAACCTTATTTTTCAGCATGTCCTTGTTTTTTTTGCCTCTTTCAGTATTATATATATTCAGTCTAATGCCACGGTTTTTAACTTTTCTTCATTTTTTTTCTGCTTTTCTGGTTTGTTTATGCAGTTATTTATTTTCCCTGAATTCCTTGTTGCTTATGTGAAGTTAATTGTAATAGTGATAACACCTACACACATATTTTCCATTACGGTGCATGCTTTTACCGTTAATGAAACTATGTAGTATGCATTCCGAAGAGCTTCAGTAGAAAGTAAGTGGACTTTTTGTTTTCTACTCACTGTTGTTTTCCTTGGTTGTTTCATTTCCTTGTACTATTGTTTTTGTATAAAACACAATCACATTTAACATTTTAACACTATAGGCAACTGATTGCTTTTTTAAAAATGGCTTTTTTATACAACCTTTTTTCCCTTCACCTCCAACCTGTTATCCCTTTTATTCAACTGCGTACTTTCTCCTCATCTTTGTTCCACTGTTCTGCTCCTTTTCCATCATCTCGCCCTATTTCTAATTGTTTTTTGTTTTTTTTGTGAGTCGCCTTGCTCCGTCTGCCCCATCATGGTGGCATTACTATCCTCCTAGTCTTCCACCTCGTATCTCTACTCCTCTTTCACCTTTTCTCTCCCTCCCTTGCAAGATAGCAATTTTAGCAGCAGCTGCTTTACCAGGGGAGATAAATTGAAGTGAGGACCAGGAAAGAGTAGTGTTGGTGTTGGGGTGTTGTTTGTGTGCAGGTGAGGAACTTGTGTGTCATGTTTGTGTGTGTTGAGAGATGTTGTGTTGCAGTGGTGCTAGTATGACTGTGTGCAGGAGACAGTGAGAGGGGTGACGGAGATGAGAAACAAAGAGGAAGAGCGAGCTGTTACTTGTTTACGTGAGAGCAGTCCAGCAGATGGTTGGAGACGTGGTGCTGCTGACTACAACACCACATGTTCCCCAAAGACAAAATCCCACCTCAGTTACATGAGCTAGAGGTTTAGCAAAATGGCATAAAAGCAGAGTAAAAGTATGCACTAGTACAATACCACTGGTTAAACCTATTGCAGATACAACGCTGCACAATAAAATGGTGTGTGACTACTCAAAAATGTTAAAAATGTCCAAAAGTTGATATAGATAATCCGATAATAAACAGAAAATGATTTAATGTACTTTTTACAAAAAGATTAGAGGGTGCAGTCCAACCCAAAATTCTCTCAACCAACCAGAATTTTACACTTTTTAACAGTGTTGAGCTTTCAAGTTCACCTCTTAACTCATACTAACACAGATGGATACATTATTGTAATGTTGTTATCATAAATGGGTTCTGTCTCCAGGTGTCCAACTTGTTTGCTCGTGACGAGATCGACGAGATTCTCAGTGATCTCATTCCCACTATGAAACGGGAGTTTCCCAGACGCCCCCCGACCAATGAAAACCTGTACGAGTACTTCATGTCACGAGTCCGACACAACCTCCACGTTGTTCTGTGTTTTTCCCCTGTTGGAGAAAAGTTCCGTAACCGAGCGCTGAAGTTTCCAGCATTGATTTCTGGGTGCACCATGGACTGGTTCAGCCGCTGGCCAAAAGATGCACTTGTTGCAGGTACATTGAACAGATGATTTTAATTCCATGTTGGTATGATTTGAATCGGTTTTGTGCTGAAGGCTAGAGTGGCAGCTGTTATTTTTTTCAGAGCTCAATGATAGGGGATAAAACACATAGTTATTACACAGTGAGCTTGTTAGGGATGTTTCTGGAGAGCTTTCTAATTACTGAAAGTCAGATTAAACTTCATTCTTTCCAAACTTTCTTTGTTTAAATCCTAGCAGCATGACTACTATTATCTGTCTTTTTTTTTCCCTTTTCCTTCAGGACCTGCATCAGGGTGTTTTTTTTTAAAGGCTTTCCTTCAACTACACTGATATATACTTGTACATTACATACACATAGGAATATGACAAGCCTTTGTTTCTTTTCAGTTATTGCAAATTTGTGTCACTGACTTTGTCCTTGGGGGGGTGGGGGGAAGAGAGAAAAAGCTCTCTTTCTGCACATCTGTTGTCTTTAAGCCTCTTACCCATTTTTGAGAAAATGAAATTTGACAATCTCAATATTTTCCAATTATGTTCTCTGGTTTGTGATTGTCTACTCTGTGTTTTGTTGACTCAATTATGAGTATAGCTTGGACGTTATAACAACAGATGTACAAAAGCCAGTAATCCATGATGTTCTAAGCAGTTAGTCATTCCTGCTTGAAAAACACTTTGTGACCAATGTAAGATTATCTTAGATATATTTATGTTTACAGTTGACGGTTTGGTTCAAATAGAACACATTTCCTTTCTTTGCTCTTTGTGTTTTTTTTTCTCCATTTAATTCTCTTTTGTCTCATTTCCTGATTTCCTGTCTTCCAGTTTCCGAGCACTTCTTGTCAGTCTATGACATCGACTGCTCAAGCCAGGTCAAGAGTGAGGTGGTCCAGTGCATGGGCTCCTTCCAGGATGGTGTGGCAGAAAAGTGTGTGGACTACTTCCAGAGGTACAGTATTGTATGAAAGATTACTGAGTGTTTGTCTGAATATTGTAAATGTTTAAATATAGCAGTATTTGTAGACCTACAGGTAAACCAGAGGAATGTGCCTCAAAAAATTGTTTAGCTTGCAAGAAACATTGACTTGTAGCTGCTTTTAAAGGTCATAGAGATTTACCAATTAAATTCAAGGCTATATATTCAGACATCATGAAGATGATTCTCCTGCTTCTTAACTTTATGTCACGATATTAACCTAATGCAATGTAATTTGAATCTAGATACCGGCGCTCCACCCATGTCACACCCAAGTCCTACCTGTCCTTCATTCAGGGCTACAAGACCATCTATAAGGAGAAGAGGTCTGAAGTCCAGACGCTGGCCAACAGGTAGAAAGACAATGAAGTTAGATATTTGTTACAATGCAGACTTATAGCACTTTTTACCCTTTGTAGAATTTAAGGTGGCTTTCATTTTCCTTTAGCATTAAGCTTTTAATTTCCCTATTATTATTAGTAATGTAATCACTTTCTAAATGGTGTCGACTGTGACAAATGATCAGGATGCATCCTGATGAAATTAGATGTTGTCAAAAAGGAAAGTCCAGAATTATCACTCATGAATCTTCTTTTTTTTTTTTTGTAAGTATATAATAAACTACAGCATTAAATGACACCCCAGATCTGACAAAAACAAAACAAAACATATAACTGCTGTGCTTCTTTTTTTCAATATTTTCAAATCCATGTTTACCGTCCTCAAACCTCCCGACATTTAATTTTAGCTGTTGATGGGATATCATGAAATTAGCCATTTTGACCAGACAGATGCAACAAGCCAACCAAAGATGAAAAGCCTGTCGAATAATGCACAAGTATTTTCACCACCTGGTGCCCTGCAGACCAAAGATCCAAAAAGAACATTGTGTGGTTCATCTTGCATTTACAACAGACAGGACCTCAGGTGCAGACATGCAGACGCCTCCCAGTTCGTCTAATATAACAAGTAGTATTAGGGGGAAGTAATGCTGTAATTATATGTGGATTGACTGACTGTGCTAAATATTTCTCTTGGTTAGGATGAATACTGGTCTCCAAAAGCTGAAGGAGGCATCTGAGTCTGTAGCAGCTCTCAGCAAAGAGCTAGAGGTGAAGGAAAAAGAGCTACAGGTCGCCAATGACAAGGCTGATAAGGTAGGTTGCGAGATAAGGAAAGATTATTTTTCCTTGTATGAGAGAGTGCCTCTGTAGACACTTTCCAAAAGTAATTTTTTTCTTTGCTTTTTAAAGTTGACACAGAATGTTTGGATTGGTGTTTTTCTCTGTGTTAATGAATAACTGTATAGAGGTCTGTATTAGTGAGATAGTGCTCCAGTGTTTCATGCATTAAAATGAAATTTAAAAAAATAAATTAAAGATTTTATTATGTCTACTGCTTGAATTTGTGCTCGGACTTTAATGAGAGCGCCTTGGGATCTAGGGTATTGTTGTGAAGCTCCTTAAGTATGTGAAAAAAAAGACAATTTTATGTGTAATGGTGTCACTATGTGTGTTTTATAGCTGTGTTGAGGTGCATGCTGTAGTTTAAGCCCAGTGTTCCCAACTGCTATTGTTGTTCATGTCAATGCATAGCATACAGTATGTCTCAACTGAATATATGGCTGCGTTGAATAATGAGTTCGCACTTTATACAGCAGTGACACTAGATTTTTTTTTTCCAACTTCTTTTTACTGTGTTGATAATTGAGAGAGGATAATAGATGAGATTGCACTCATTCATGCTGTTTACTCTTTTTGCGTACCTCCAGGTGTTGAAGGAGGTGACGGTAAAAGCCCAGGCAGCAGAGCGAGTGAAGGTAGAGGTACAGAAAGTGAAGGACAAGGCCCAAGCCATTGTAGACAGCATTTCAGCCGACAAGGCCATCGCTGAGGAGAAACTAGAAGCTGCCCGCCCAGCTCTTCAGGAGGCTGAGGCCGCACTGCAGGTACCGGACTTACACACAGCAACTTTAAATGTGCCGTTCTGAGGTTTCTTCTCAGCTTTATTATACCTCAGGTAGAGAGACTTGAGTCCAAACTTGCTTTGTGTGGAGTCTACAAGCATTCTGGTGGCTCTAGTCATGATAACAACGCCTTATACACTTTATTACAAATAAATGAAAGTCTTACTCATTTTCAGATTATGTGTTTTAGGTGTCAGCTCAAAATACTGAACAGATCATTAATTCTACCATGCCTATATTACCCCTGGCTTTAGCCCTGTTCCAAATAGACTGTTTAGGCTGTACCTGTTTCAGAAATGAGGCCACAGACGTACATCTTTCTGCATTTACTCTGGTCAGTGCATGGCAGAGAGGTTTCCAAATGAGGGGGAAGAGACACGGGGTGACGCTTAACCTGTGGTGGCATCACAACAGGCTGCAAACTTGAATGGCTCATTCACAGATGATTTCTGATTCATGTCGAAAAGAAAGAAACAATAAATATATATATCTATGAAAAACTGCATCTTGCATAATATAGCTCATTAAATTATTAGTTTTTAACCGATTTAAATTTTACAAAACAGCAAGATCATCCAAACCAATAATGGGCATATTAGTGTAAAGATTAAATAACAAGAGAAACATAGAAGAAGTGCAAACAACACAAACATGTTTATATACACAGAGACCTACATGATTTGTATGGGTATATGGCAGGAAATAAATAAAGAGCAAATACAGACAAAACAATCAGCCATGGACTTATGTGAACCATTAAGTTAGAATCTCTGTATCAAAGAATTTAAAGGTTGCCAGAGTCTCTATGGGATCTTGATGCTGGAAGTGTGGACCTGGAGGGTAGACCACTACAGCAACATACACTTTCTAGTGAGAAATACATTTGTCATGAAGCATTTGGTGTATGTATCAAAAAATACAAATAAAATGTCAGTATGGGATAATGAATAAAACGAAGAGCACAGTGTAAGCAAATCCTCCTGGATCGTGGAATGAACATCTTTCCAGCACATCTGAATGAGATTATGCGACCAACAAGTGGATAAATGAAGCTTTGTGCATTTATAACAGAGGTTTGAGCTCTTAGGGAACATTCTCAATTGTTCCAATGACAAGGGTCATTGGAAAAAATAAAACCTTTGTTGATGTGTAGAAATCCAAATGCATTTCAGATAGTTACCATAGCAAAACCACTGATCCAATCCGAAGAACTAAATGTTACCCCCACCATGGATTTAATGACGCATAATAGGAAGAATCACAGTCCATTGACGGAGCACTAACCTCTCCCCCTTTTAGAGATTTGGCTGAGACCATGACATTTTCCAGTTGTAACACATCTTAGTTAACTATGTTAGCATGCTAACATGGAGCTACAGCTGAGAATGATAGGAATGTGTTTTGCCATGTGTTTTGCAGGTATTTGGTCATAAATCAGAGAACTGCACAGATTAAAATGAGCTGATGACGATGTTAGCTGTAAAGTCAGATCACCACCAAAGTGATGACAATTCATCATAGGGAGAGCATGAAGGCCTGCATCACATAGTTGTTTAGATATGCAAATGGCAACCTCTTTGTAGTGCTGCTGAAAAGCCAGGGGAATTACCAGAGTCTGTAGGATTCATTCTCTGAGGACCACGACTGATTGTACTAAATGGATTCAAGTGCATCGTGCAGGTGTTAAAATATCTCAGTTGATAAATAAAAACACTGATCTGTTGGTGATGCTAGAGGAATGGGCAGAGAATCCCCAAAGTACACTAAATTAGAATTCATTGTCTTGGCACTATGGATATCTGTACATGACTCCATGGTAATGCATTCAGTAAATACTGAGCTTTCTCAGTAAAAGCTAAACCAGCAGCCTCCTTTGGCGCAAGAGCAGAAGTCCCAAGGTCAATCCAGTAGGATGCATACTCTGGGGGCCACTAATGTTTGAAACATTTTTGTACAACAATTTATTTTAATCCATCTAGTTTTTGATAGGCAGTTACACATTCCTTGTTCTTTAGGCTCTGAGCTTTAGCCCATTTCAATAAAGTGCCAAGCCGTAGCTTTAATTTGAGGAGGTTTGCATCAGTATAAAAAGAACTTTGTGACAGATAAAGCCCTCTTAACGCATATTCAGTTCAACTGCATCCACATCATGGTACTTCCCCCGTTTCATTGTGATTATCTCATCCTACTGATATCTTTAAGCAGCAACATTAAAACAGTACTTCAATCACTGGCTTTGAACTGGATCCAATTTTCTTTTTCTAACCATATGTTTCAACAGTTATTAGGACATTCTCTCTAAGTACTGTGAGCCAAATTACAATTATCATATACAGTATGAATATAGGATTTCTGTAGTTGTGCTTTCATGTTCATCATCTGTTGGCAGTTTCATTCAAGCCAACGATGCCCTGCCACTCCTCATTCATTCTCATCTATTTTTGTATGGTTTTGGTGCCAGGATAATTTTACCCTACGAGATAGCTCGAGGGTTTTTTAGTAAACTGTGTGATGCAGCAGTTTATTGTGCTCCGGTGTGTGGCTCCATGCTTACCCCGCTGATATTTTGTATGCTCTCTTGCGTTTTGTTGCTTCAGGGTGCCACTTAGAGCCCTCTGTGACTTGCTGTGTGACGCTGCATGAGGGTTTTTACCTGCAGCCTTTTCTCATCCTGGTGTTTCTAAAGTTAGTATGGTGGTTTGGGGCCTGGAGTTGCTCTGTAATTAAAGCTGTCCTCCTGAGTAGATGGCTGCATACAGATCTCCTATGGCAGGTCCCTCATTATAATTTTTTATCTTGCTGCTGCACATGGGAACCTTGGATTTCCAAACAGACAACCCTGGTAAACTGTTCTGATTGATGAATATGTATTTTCATTACGTATTTATCAAGTGCAAGAGAGAATTTTAAAACGAGTTGTCAACTAGTGCTCTCCGATGCACAGAAACTGGTATATATTGAAGATGTATTATCATTCATTCATGAAGTTCCTCTACTTTTAGTGGCAGCTGACTTTTCTAATCAGTCAAGGTCTTGCATGTATTTGTTCATACCTAGCAAATTTAAAGGGATTCTGCTTTTCTTGATTGTGCAATACATTAATTTGATTTGCACACTTTAAGGTCCGTTTCCAGTAACTGACTTAATATATACATTTGCCCAACCTTTCAGTTAAAAGGACCAAGGGACATGTATTGTGCAATGGGGATGTAGCTTTGCAGCAGCCATTATCACTGATGCACAATAGCAGTAGTAGAATTACCAAATTAGTCACAGAGGCTTATTAATGCTTTGCTTTCATGTTAAAATACCGTGACCAATATATGGGTGTGTGCAATGTGAAAATTCTATAATATTTCAGTTGTAGCTGTCATGCACAGGAACCACAATAAAACACACATTTTCTAGTATATAGAATGTTGCGAAATTGCAATGGTGATTTGACAGTGACCCTGTTGAGACGCTTTTAAAAAAGCTCAGGAGAACAGGAGAGATGGTGGAAGTGGATGTAAATGATAAACCCGACTCTCTGCTGGCTGACGCTCTAGCAGGAGATTCACACAAGATGAGTGGAAATGGAGCAAGGAGAAGAAAGCAGAAAGGAGAAGTGCAAAAAAGAGGAAAGATGAGACGAGCAGGCAGGGGGGCTGATGAAGCAGCCAAACAACTCTCACTGGGACATTTTCTTTACTCTTCTGCTGTCTCTCATTTTAATCAGTCCTTTGGGGTAATTCTATGTCCCCCTCCGCTGAACTAGTCCCATTCTGTTGGAATTTACACTTACAGTCTTTATGTTTATTTCCTTCTGTCTCCTCTTGCCATTGCCTCTGGTTGTGTTTTCTCTATATGCTTCTCCTGCTTTTGCTGTTATTTCAAACTGAAGAATGATTTACTGTGTGTGTGTATATATATATATATATATGTAGAGAGAGAGACAGAACTGTTTGTGCTCCTTCATAGGAGAGGTACATACAATTGTATTCTCAGTATTTTTCTCTGTAATCACCTTGTAATATGCCCTCCTCATATTAACATCCTCTCTCTCTATTTACTTCTGTTCTTTGCTTTTCTCTTCCCATGTGTACCACTGTGCACAAGGAGTACTTAACATTGAAAGATAAAACTAAGTGACAAATGCCGTACCTTAAACAGCATCATAAAATTACATCTTTAAAGGCCAGTGATTGCCCTTCACAGCGTACTGACAATAGTGTTCTGACTTTGTTGTAGAATGCATGTAAATCTCACAACAGTGATTTTTTTGTTCATATATTGAAAACTTTATGTCCCTCTTTTTTCTCTGTCTTTGCCTACACAGACAATCAAGCCATCAGATATCGCCACAGTGCGAACACTTGGCCGCCCCCCCCATCTCATCATGCGGATCATGGACTGCGTGCTGCTGCTCTTCCAGAGGCGGGTGAACAGCGTGAAGATCGACCCGGAGAAGAACTGCCACACTCCGTCCTGGCAGGAGTCCCTAAAACTCATGACAGCTGGGAACTTCCTGGGCAGCTTGCAGGTGAATTTTGCCAATATGAAATTACAATTACAATTACTGCAGGGAAAATTTATGTTAATGACCATTCAATGATATCCTAATGTAAAATAGTGTTCTGTCTCTTGTTTTTTTTTTTTTCTGTTTTCTGTCATTTCCTCTACTCATTTCTGTACCTCTTCTATTTCCTGCCTTTGTCTCTCTTAATGCATGCCATTGTGAGTTCTCTGCTTTTTACTTTTTTGCTATAATTTCATATGGTTTCATGTTCTGTTTAGTTACACAAGTGACTGGTGTATAAATCCTTTGTGTACACACTAAAAATAAGTCCCACTTGTATCAGCTCACACCGACCCATACCCCTTTCCTTTTCTCTTTCCTTCTCTTGAAGCAATTCCCCAAAGACTCCATTAATGAAGAAATGGTGGAGCTGCTGCAGCCTTATTTTGAAATGCCTGACTACAACATCGAAACAGCTAAGAGGGTGTGTGGCAACGTGGCCGGCCTTGCGTCCTGGACCAAGGCTATGGCTTCCTTCTTCTCCATCAACAAGGAGGTCTTGCCCTTAAAGGTAACATCTAGTGTGGTAGATTTAGCACTGTGGTTTCCTGGTGCAGCAGAAAGAAGAAATAGTAGACAGCATATGACACAGAATTAATAGAATAAAAAATGCATCAAAGGATTTTTTTCTTTCTCTCTGAGTAAATTAATAATATGATGAACTTGTTCATAGCACAGAAATGAATACATGAACCAGCTAAATTCCCTTTCACAACCACGTTGTGTTACACCCATCACCATCCCCTCAGTAAACAATTGGGATGTGCACACATACACACACACTTGTAAGCGCACTCCCTCGACAAAGTCCATGGCCTCCCACTTTTCCACTCGGATGAATAAGAAACACTTACGGTGGAGGAGGTTAGTTGTTTTTCTGCAGAAAAGCTTCAGGCTACAGAAACAGCACAGACTGTCTCTGATATGAAAAGGATTTATTCATATAGTAAATGGACTGCACTTATGTAGCGCCTTTTACCTTAGTGGTTTACAAAGGCGCTTTACAATTTTTTGCCTCACCCACACACCAATGTGCTCACTAGCCATTGCAAACAACTTTGGGGTTTATTGTCTTGTCCAAGGCGACTTCAGCAAGTGGACAAGAGGAGACAGAGGATTGAACAGCAAGTCCTGCAACCACAATAAACCACAGTCAATCTGATTTTGCCTTGTCACTTAACCTTGTGATGTCATGCAAATGTCCCAAATCCTTTGCAACCCTGTCTATTTGTTTTAGATTTTGACAACAACAGAATGGACAGACAAAAGAACAGTAGACGTGGCCATTATAGGGAAAGTAAAATGCTTAACATAATGTGAAATCCAGGAAAAGAAAAGTTACAACTCACCATCAAGGTCAGCAAGTCTTTTATGTCTCTGATTGTCCTCTAAGTCACAGAGGTTCTTATCGTCCATGACGTTCATTAACACAAAAAGCTAAAATGCTTTTGAAGAAGACAGGACCCCCTACTCAATTAAAAAAAAAAAAGAAAAACATTAGTCCATTTTGTCAGGTGACAATTTTTTTTGTTAGTTTGTGTGAAAATGTGTCTGTGGATGTCTAAAGCTTTTGCAAAGTATTTTAAGGCTTTGATGGGGTGCAATTACGCTTTTGGATTGTGTTAACTAAAACCAATGCCTGATGCAGACCTCTAATTTCCCATTTTCAATCCTGTCCTTTGGTTTTCTGTCTCATTTTCTCCATTTTCTCTGCACCTTCATGTGTCTGCTCGCCCCACCCATCTGTCTGTCCCTTTCTACGTTTCATTTCCCTTATCCCATCTCCCACTGGCTTCCTCCCTCTCCCTTCTGCTTCTTTCATATTCTCTCTTGCACACACAAACACACATATGCTGTTTTTCTCATATTCTCTACAACCTCCATGAGAACCCTTTTGCCTCTCTTCTTTGATCCTGACCTTTTGCTTAAGCAGGGAACACAGCCCCGCAAATTGATTTTCTAGTTTCCAGCTCAGTGGTGGCTTCTCTTTAAGCTGGCCAGCCAGACTGCCAGACAGAGATACAGTTGGACAGACAGACAAGCAGGAATGGTCCTCTCGGATATCAATTAATATTAAATGAAAGCACCAGACTCCCTCTTCCCTGAGCCACCCAAACACACTCAGACGCAGCCACACTTAGGCAGCCTCTCAACTTTCCTCTAAATCTCTGTCTTTAAACCTCTTGCAATGCTTCTTTTTTTTCCCCGAAGCCTGAGCTCTACCCAGAAAATATCCTTTCTGCTTGCCTCTGTCATCTTCACTCTTTCTTCCTCTCTTGCCCTTTCCATCACTCCTTTGTCACTGTTTATTTCCAGTTACTTTCTATTGCCCTCATTTCCTCTTGCAAATCTATTCTTGCATCTCCAGTTTGAGTCTTGGAGATGTATGTCTCTACACCTGCACTTGGGATACATCTTTACGCTTCTAAAATCGTAAATCTTTAAAAAAAAAAAAAAAAGTGCTTCCACCCTTTTCTCCTCCATGCTTGCTTATTTCATACTATCTGCCATAACCTGAGCTAAAACACACTCTTATTTTATTATTTCATCAGTTCTGCTCACTCAGTAGGAAGATTATGTCCCTGTTCTTCTTCCCAGTAAAACATTCACTCCCACCACTCATCTCTTTTTCTGTGAAATCCTTTCCATTTTCACCACATCACCCCATGGTGTTTCATCTTTTTTTTCTCTTTTTCTCAGTCCTCTCCCCAGAGAGCTGACCGTGACCCCTGCAGGCTTTTTATGTGCAATGGAGGCGTCGCAGATCTGTCTCTCATTGTCTTCCTTTCTTTCTCAGGCGAACTTAGCAGTGCAGCAGAATCGTCTGGCCATAGCTAATGTGGACCTTCAGAAAGCCCAGGCTGAGCTGGACGCCAAGCAGGCAGAGCTGGATGTGGTACAGGCAGAATATGAGAAAGCCATGATGGAGAAACAGGTCTGCATTTTACTGACTCCCTTTAAAACACAACTGTACATCAGTTTAATACACACATATGCATCTAGAACAACACTTGTGACTTTAATACTGAAGATATACTGCTGCTCTACATCTGAGTAAAAAAAAAAAGGTTGCCTTGCACAAGCTATTGACATAGCTTGTCATTTTCTTTTCTTTTAAGACTTTAATGAAGACTGGTTACTGTCTTCTACAACTTGAAACAATGCTTGTCTGCCCTACTGGAGCCTGTAATGTAGTGGGGAACTGGTATATTAATTCCGTTCTTTTAATTCACATAGTTTGACCTGTTAACCCTGGATGCAAATCGGCAATCCCATTTTCCTTCATACGTCACCTGCTGTGCTGTATGATAAGTCAAATTCAAATGACCCAGTTGCCTTTGTGCTAGAGTGTTTTATTCACACTTTCCTTGAACAATGACATTTCTGTCTCTGCTCACTCTTGACCTTCAATAACAGCAGGTTTGTTCACATGTAGTACATCTCATGCATAAACACAGGTGCCTAACATTTTGTCCAGGAGGAGATGTTAGAAACGGACAATAACGTATTTAGGGTGGCTCAACTGGCTTAATGAAGTCTAATTTGTCATTGTAGCCATACATCGATTGTAGAGCTCCTTTTTCTTGTGGCTTAAAATGACTCTTTATGACTTTGGTTATACGTTGTGTTGTGGATTGTTCTCATGTTGCAACATTAATTTATATAGCTCGGAAATATCTGAAGTGAACTTGCACGATAGTGTATTTGCTATAAAAAGGTAATGTAATAAGCTATGTTGTCATGACAACACTTGCCACTGGTGCTATTTATGACCAAGTTTTGCTTATTGAAAGCAGAGTAGAAAAGTTTCACAAAGCTGTAACTTGCTATCTGGGTTGTAACATAGTTATCGACATAATCAGTAATATCAGTAAAAATAATAATAAAAGAGGCGGTGAGCTTACAAACTGAAAGAGTCTCTACTGTGTGTTGTTTTCATCATCAGCACTCTCTGTTCTGTGCAAATCAAGACTCCCTGATTAGAAAACCTGAGCAGTTCAAGTTGAATCTTATAATTGTGTGATTACTGATAAAGACAAAACTGTCTTCAGGGGCCAACCGCAAAACTGAAAGCCTCACTGCAATGACGGTTGATCCTCATATTCTTAATACATTTAAATATCCCTGGTGGTAGATTAATAAAGTTTATATTTTATTCTAAATCAAAAGCCTAGACCAGTCTTATAGATGAAACAGACATTATTGTTATCAGTAAAACAACCTCAATATTGCCTGTGAGCAGCTGTTAGCTATATTTCTAAAAAGGCATGTTCATTTGGGCATTCACATCGCAAAAAACACAACTGTTTCTAGAGTAAATGCAAGGATGACCCAGCATGCATTGGTTGAATAGCAGATGCCTGTCAGTGGCTTAATGCGTACAGACAAGACTCACAACTTAGGGCAGTTTAGATTTAAATGAACCCAGGTTCAATGTCTCTGGACTGAGGCACCTGAAGGGAAACCCACACTGTGATAAAGAAAACTTGAAAATATATTTGTTATTCGCTTTGTGGCAGCAACTCTGTGCGTGTCCTGTTGTACTTGGATTAGAGACCACCTTAAAGCCCACGAAGGAATTGATTGAACATCTGCCCTCTGTGCGCGTTCACTCAATACATTCTCCTTATATACAGACTTAAGATTGTTTTAAGTATGCACAGATGTGCAGAGAATAAATTGATTGAATAGGACTTGGATGGATGAAGAGACACTTGGACAGACGAGGCCGAGCAGCCGCATCAACCCCTTGACCTGTTTGTCGGCCTCTTTCCCATTAGACACTGCTGGAGGACGCCGAGCGCTGCAGACACAAGATGCAGACGGCGTCCAGCCTCATCAGTGGGCTCGCTGGGGAGAAGGAGAGATGGACAGAGCAGAGCAAAGAGTTTGCTGCTCAAACCAAGCGCCTTGTGGGTGGGTTTAACAGCAATTGTAAAGAAGTAATTGTTCCAAAAACTGTGGTGTCAGAGAGACGTCTGCAATATAATAATTAATTAATGCTCCGACATTTGTAAAATTGACTTTTTTTGAGTTATTTCTGAATGGTTTTGAATGAGTTAGATGAAAATTGACAATTTCTAATGGCTCTGCATCATTTCACTGATCCAGGTCAATAATTTGAATTATTAACAGTCTGATCAAAATGTTGTTGTCTGATTTAACATTTATTTCCTAATATCCTATCTACATTGTTAAATCCCTCCTTTATTTTTTATGTACTTTTATTTTTCAGTGTATCAACATGACCTGCAACATCCGATTATGCTTTGTTTTCTTTTTACACTTACACATACCCAGTGTTCAAGTATGCACTCATAACAGGACCTTTGTCTTCCTGATCCAGGTGATGTTCTTCTGGCCACAGCTTTCCTCTCTTACTCTGGCCCATTCAATCAGGAGTTTCGGAGTCTCCTACTGAATGATTGGCAGCGAGAGCTGAAGCAGCGTTGCATCCCATTTGGCAACAACCTCAATCTGACCGAACTGCTCATCGATGCTCCTACTGTTAGTGAGTGGAACCTACAGGTCAGTGATTGTCGGCTAACTGGTAACTAAACTGTAAGTTGTTGATCTACCTGGAAGTCTATGGTTATAGTGAAACATAGTATACCTTCAGATTTTGTGTATTTTGTATGAATACTTCTGTTGTCTGACTATAATTTGATCATTTAATCACTGATAACTGTCTCTTTGAAGGATTTTATTATTTTTTGTGATTTAAACATGTACCCCTGCTAAGCTAATTATGACTGAATAGTAAAGTGAAATAAATGAAAATACTTGAAATCAAAACAAATTCTTCATATGAAGATGAATTAGCTGGCATTTGCATAAGCAGTGTTATTTAGCCTCACCACTCGTTCCTTCTGTCTTACAGGGGCTCCCAAATGATGACCTGTCTATTCATAATGGCATCATTGTGACCAAAGCTGCACGCTTCCCTCTTCTCATTGACCCACAGACTCAGGGAAAAATATGGATCAAAAACAAAGAGGCCAGGAGCGAACTGCAGGTTTGGGATTTTTTCATCTCCACACTTGGTTGACAATATGTGACCTGTGTTGGCTGGATAAATGCAAACCATGCATTAATTGGCTAATTGGCATTATACAAGAACTGTACCCACCCTTTGTCTGTATTCTTACAAAGCTGTATGTCATTGGTTTTTATGCTTCTTTTTCTAAGATCCTTATTTCTTTACGGTTTTTCTTTTGCTCTCCTTAACCTTCTGTGTCAGATCTGGTCTTCTATAGCAATAATAGTCCCAGATTCTTAGTTTCTGCAGTGTTCTGTTTGCCCTTGATCCTTTCTATTGTCCAACATGCACAGCACATTGGAAAAAAAGAACTGCAAAATTCTGCAAGCATAATAAGCTCAGCCAAGGTCACTGGCCCTGTTAGGGGCAATCACTGAGCTGAGTGAATGCATTCTGCAATCCTATTAGGAGTGTCCTGGAGACACATTTCCCCAAGCAGCAGTTTTCAACCCTTTCTACAAGTGATGTCATCAGACAAACTGTATTTATTTTTATAAGGTTTTCTAAAAATGGCTCATTTAAAAAGTGATGTGAAATTAGTTTGACGAGTCACGAGCCCAGACAGAGGTTAGCATTGGAGGAATAAGAGAAAAATACAACATGGTCGCTCCTTTCTGTTTCACCAATGTAGCATCAGCCTGTTGGAAACAAGTGCTATTGGTGCTGAGGTTAGGTAGGGAGGTGATTCTGTTAGAAAATCAACACATTTTAGCATTTTTTCATTCCTATTAGTACTAAATGATGATCTAAAACTCCAGCTGCCAGTTGCATTATATATTTTTTATTATGTTGGCTTTTCTGACCTCAGATCACCTCACTGAACCACAAGTACTTCAGGAACCACCTGGAGGACAGTCTGTCTCTCGGTCGCCCCCTTTTGATCGAGGATGTCGGGGAGGAGTTGGACCCTGCGCTCGACAACATCCTTGAGAAAAACTTTATTAAAACTGGCTCCACTTACAAGGTAAAATGGCAGAAACAACCCTACTGTGACTCCGATGTACCAAATTTCTTATTTCCTTGGTTAGAAGAGTGTGAAATGGGCAGGTGTGTTTGGAGCACCGGTGTGAGGCATGATGGGACTTTGCCAGGTCCTTCTGGCCATGCCAAGCATCACACCTGTACTGACACAGGTTGATTAGCTCAGACAGGGGAAAACAAGCTTCTCGCTGACACTGCACAACGTGAGCGGTGCTGGCTGAAGGAGGAGAGGGTCTTGGTTGTGCTTTGCCAGCTGCAGCGCCTGTCTTAAATCATGTTAATTGTTTTGGGACAGATTAAAAGCACTCGTTGAGCATGGTCACTCAGAAAATATTTCACTGTGTGCAGACTGACTGTGTATTCCTGTTTCTGTGGGTCTGTGACACATCTGATTTCTACTTTTTCCACATTTATTTTGTTCTTTGGGATCGATGTTCAGCATCACCAGCTCTTGTGAAAAATGTTATTGCAAACTGTGACCTCTGAAGTACCTTCACTACATCTCAGTTTTTCAAAGCTGCATTAACGAATATCTGCTATTTAAGTCATTTTTAAAACACACCTTTTGCCAGCAAACATATATCACAGCTTGGACCAAGTTTCAGTACTTTTTACTGATTGCTCTAGTGTATTAAAACATTTGAAAACTTGCTATTTATTTCCTTTTGTGTCCTTTTTGGTATTAAACATGTTTCATGCATGACGGAAATTAAATTGGTGCAGATGATTTACAAATAAAGTCTTGTAGGTATTTTTTTTTATGTCATGTCATAGAAGAATCCAGTTTGACTGTGTGTTTTCTCCAAGTAGCTGTGTTGTACTCTTTTAGCAGCTAAGTGTGAAATGAGGAGAACATTTTATTATCCGTGTAAACCAAATCAAGACTTAATTATCCACATTAGTCAGATAAATGAATTTGTATTTTAAGTAATTTCCAATTACATCTATTTCACAAACATGATGTTCTTGCATTTAATATCTAACCACACTCCGAATGGTTTCTACAATGGCAAATCTAATGAGTGACTTCATAAAGAGTGCAGGCTGAAATTACAGAATAATTCTTACTGGCTTCATAAATGAGATTTCCTGTTGAGAAGTGAAATCCAGTTTTGAATGTCATTTGCTTTTCTCCCATCATTGGTGGCTAGACTGTGAAAAATAGATTGCTCTCTATCTCAGCATCCTAATTTCATGAAATGTTCAAGTTTGATATTTTTAATTTGGAAAATTGCAGGTCAGGGTTTAAATAGTTCTTGTTTGGCCTGCAAATGATTATCAAACATGACAGGACCTGAATCAAGCTTTAGAGGTAGAATTTGGGTATTACAGGAAATATAGAATTGTGCATGATGAGGAAACACTGTAAAATTGGTCTCTCTGCCAGTAAATTGGTCTGAACCTTTTTTTAAAAACAAAAAATCCTTCTTGTTGCACACATGAACCTGTTTTTCTGCAATGCTGGTAAAGATTTGAGCAATACCATACACAAAACACAATTAGGAAGTCAGTGGAAATGTATTCTGTTTGTCGTACTATATATCACAACAAGATTTATAAAAAGGAAAGTTTGTCTTTGGAAGTCTTTTCGCTAGCATCTCTGTTTCTCATTACGATCTCCCATCTCCTGACTCTGGCTGCTGCTGGATATTCAGCACCTAAAATTGCAGCCGCTTCCTCCGTGTCTCACACTTGCATCAAACAAACTATCATGCAAACACTCACCCACCCATGAAACATTAAATACCACTACAGGAAAACATGCACACGCCATTTGGTGATTGCAGGTAAGCATGTGTCACACAGACAACACATTCGACTGGAGGTTTCCTGGCTACCTAATGAGAGACCCGATTAGAGGTGTATGCATTCTCTCCTGTGATTACTTCTCCCCTGAAAAGCTTTAATTTCTATTAATATCCCGGTGCAAGGGAGGAGTGAAGGTGTCTGGCGTCGACAGCTCCAGGGAAGAACCAGCAGATAGATAATTAGAAGTTATGCTGCCATGTGTAATTAAATGCTGATCAGAGCAAACATAAGCCCACATCTAGGCACATGCACACACTTGCATGCAGGAAATGCAGGTCTGTCTGCAAAATGACACGCTGATCATGTTTGTCTGGATGGCGTTTATTGACATTTAATCCACGACTTTCTTGTCAATTGAGTCATCAGTGTTGTGTGTAATATTGTTTAGTGGTTTAGGAAGGATCGGGATTGATAATCAAGAAAAAATAAGTGAGCTGAAAAACAAACCTCCCTCCACACATTATTTTCTACTGAACTTGTCAATTTGATAAATATGCCTGTGTAAAGGTAATTTGTGATGCCAGCTTTCAGAGCCTTATTTTGGTATTGTGTGGATATTTATATTCTACCTGATAATTAACATGCACCTGTCCCTCTCTTTGTCTTTCTTTTGCAGGTGAAAGTTGGTGACAAAGAGGTAGATGTCATGAAAGGCTTCAGGTTGTATATGACCACCAAGCTACCCAACCCGGCGTACACTCCCGAAATCAGCGCTCGCTCCTCCATCATTGACTTCACTGTCACCATGAGAGGACTAGAGGACCAGCTGCTGGGAAGAGTCATCCTAACTGAAAAACAGGTTAGTGTTATACTTAAATGGTGGTCATGATACATAATTTAGTGACTTGTTTAAATTAAGCAATAATATATTATTACTACCTTATAATTAAGGTTTCGGTGCATCTCCACAAGAACCTTTGACCCAATAAAATTTTTAGACATCCTTGTCGTTTTTCAGAAAACTCTTGGAGACCATATAACTGCAGGCTTTCAACACCTCTCTCTACTCTGTACCTAATTGTCTCTCTCTAGCAAGCATGGACTGTGTAACAATATAACTCCAAGGTTGTTATTAGCCTTTGTATGTTGAGCATGGCAATCTTTGTGCCCTTGAATACAGACAGTGTAAAAAAAACAACCAGTCACCCAAAAATAGTGTTCACATGCATCAATACCGAATATACTCACAGAGACGCACACGTCTGAAGTGTCGATGACTTGAGTTATTCATACTCAGGAATAGAATAGCGCATTATAAATGCACCAATGCAGAGGACTCATTGATTGTTGCTCTGAAAAGACTGGTCCTGCTGCAGAAAAGCAATTTTCCCCTCTAATAATGGCTGATCATCAAATGAAAGATTTATGCCAGATGAGAAGAGTGCCTTGTTATCTGTGTACGAAATATGGATTTAGTCATAATGGGAGCTGAAGCTACTATCTCAGCCATAAAAATCTGCTCCTTGTCTTTGCAGCTCATGCAGCTTTTCAAGGCCAGTGTCATTGAATCATTTGTTTTTTACTTGTTGTAACAGCTCCTGTGAGCAAACAACTTTCAGCTACAAGTAGGACTTTTACATCTTTCCTTGTAAGCTGTTAAAATATTTATTTTCTAATATTAGAATTAGTGTGCATTGAGTCTTTTCAGTCTGTCCAGCTTCAAATCAAATGTCTTGGCTTGACCATGTCAGTCAGAACAGTAAAAATATCCCTAAAATTCTAAATCCAACACAGTGTTTCACGGCTTACGTTTAATTTACAGGTGCGGCACTTAATCCTGTGATGGTTTACTTTGTACTTTGTCACAGTGCTGAAGGAAGATAGAATATCTTCTTTGATAACTCTCTTTTTATTTCTTCACTCTTGGTGGGTTTTGTCAGCTCATAAAGTCTTTTTTTCCCTTTCCACTGTATTACTAATGAAGAGGATTTGTCCTTAAGCTCACAAAAACATACCATATAAAAGCCAGACACTGTAGTTTTCAGAAAAGTATGCTTATAATCTACAGGAGCAAAGTAAATGATTCAAAACACTCCTGTCAGTCTGGCAGTAGTGGTAACTTGTGACAGTTTTTACCCTTTTATTAGCCACTTATGACCAGACTACCATTTTTTTTGATGTGGGTAAAAAGATAAAAAAAACAAAACAACAACAACATTTAATTTGTTGGTCAGGTGAGACGTAGCTTTTTGATTTTATTGGTCCTACAGCTTTTTCCCAAGCACCACCCTGCAGCTTCATAAACTGTGTGTGTGTTTGTGCATTGTGTTGTGTTTTTATGACACTAGGAACTGGAGAAGGAGAGGACAGACCTCTTGGAAGATGTGACATCTAACAAGAGAAAGATGAAGGAGTTGGAGGACAACCTCCTCTACAGACTGACCAGCACACAGGCAAGGAAATACATCTGAAACGGATGTATCAGGAAACATTTAGAAATGATGAACAGCGTGTAATCCAGGCATGTGACTGTTGTGTCCTTTCTTGTTTCACAAAAGGAAAATTCAAAAAATAGACTGTTGATATATGCAGGCTGGAATAAATCTGCATTTTTATTCCACAAAGAAAGCGGTACAAAGGAGTTCACCCAGTAAAGGAACTATAGAAGTACATGTACAGCTTTTACAGTTTGAGCTATAATTCTCCATTTCAGTCACCATAGTAATGTTTCGATTTTTATTGTTTCCTAACTTTCTCTTGTAAATGTGTTTTTGCAGGGTTCACTGGTGGATGATGAGAGTCTGATTCTGGTGCTTAGCAACACAAAGCTCACAGCTGAAGAGGTCACTCAGAAACTGCAGATTGCCGCTGAGACTGAGATCCAGATCAATGCTGCCAGAGAAGAGTACCGACCAGGTACGTCATCACTCTCAGGCAGAACTTGGTGTTTTGTTTTGTTTTTTTGTTTTTTTGGTAATTTGCTGGTACTGGTAGGCAAAGTGTGCCTGCCAAACTTCAGGACATTTTTATTCACTTCATCATCAAGAGTTTTATACTTTGTATCTCAAGTGTATGGACGGGCTTTTATGATTCATGAAAAAAGGTCACAGTCAACAGAAAGCAATTTCGGGAACTTATTTACATGTCTTCTTGTTTTCAGTGGCCACCAGGGGCAGCATCCTGTACTTCCTGATCACTGAGATGAGTATGGTGAATGTCATGTATCAGACCTCTCTGAGACAGTTCCTGGGACTGTTTGACCTTTCTCTGGCCAGGTGAGAATACTTTGGCAGTCAGCAGTTCCTGCTTTCTATAACTGAATTGGTTTTCCCGTTCAAGGTGTAGTTTCACAAAAAAATGAAATTTATTCTTATTGTGGAGCTTTTTTGCTTATAGTGAGTGGTCCTTAGAAGCTCCATATCAGTCTTTGTAATGCAAAGCTGGCAAATATTGTCTCAGTGGGGGATTTTCTTTATTGACCGTGCCAGTTGCCATGCTGCAGACTGCCATGATGCAATATTAGCCTTTCCTAAAGCACTGATTTTCAAAAAGGACAAAATGATATTATATTTTCAGACAGTTTATACAGCATAAAGCCAAACAATCCCCCCTTATTGTCAGTCTGTGTCCTTCAACTACACTTCCACACAGTAACTGCAGAAAGAATAAGCTGTTGTCACATGGTAAATTGTGCCAGACCTTTAAATTGTAAGTGGAGCATATTCAAAAAGTATGACAATACAAAAAGTAATACCATGTAATTGCCAAAGTGTCAATACATGCAATTTCTTTTGCCTTTTTTAAATATTTTTTTTAAAATTACAATGTGCAGTTCTTCTTTTTATTGTGCCTTTTGGATAAAAATAAGAAGGAAGAAGCTTTGTGCAATTTGCATCCTGTATTCATTTGGATTGAACTGAGAATACTTACAGCACATATGACTAAAAAGTGAAGACATTTACTTTTAGCTTGTTACATTAAAAGTGGACCAAGTCAATACATAAACTACAGGTTGAACACTGAAACTTTAACTGTGATGGTTTCTGTCTGCAAATGGGGCCATTTGTTGTTTTGTGGTTTTTTTAAGGCATATATGTGATGGTGCATTTTAAACAGCTGGCTACAAATTTGATTGCTCTGTTTTTCCCCAAAAACATACAACAGAATAATTTTAATAGCCCCAGGAACATTAATGGCTACATTCCTTGTTACCAAGCGCAACAAACATCCTGAGCATCACAGCTGACACTGCTTATACATGAGTCTCTAGTAACCCTGCTGATCTGTGTTTAATTCTGGGGAATTGTCACTGTTACTATTTGTAAATAGAATTATGACAGCAGGAGCTGCAAAGTCAAACTTTAACTAAGATATATGCTGTGATTTACTGCCCTAACAGGTCATCCAAAAGCCCCATCACCAGCAAACGGATCGCCAGCATCATAGAGTTCATGACCTTTGAGGTGTATAAGTACGCAGCTCGAGGCCTGTATGAGGAGCACAAGTTCCTCTTCACTTTGCTGCTGACGCTGAAGATCGACATGCAGAGCAACAGGGTCAAACACGAGGAGTTTCTCACGCTCATTAAAGGTAAGAGGCAAATGTGAACACTCGACAAGTTTAATTTGTAAATGTTCTGTTGTCTTGTTTACTTGTTCACATAAGAGCCTGGATTAGGTTGTTTTTGTGTTTTGTTTCGTTTTTTTGCTGCTTTGCCAGTTGGATGTGCTCATGTGTTTGTTCAAACATTCACAATGTGGGCGCTGGCTTTTAAACTTCATTGTGTTTGTGAAATACGCTAACAGAAAGTCAAACCTAGAAAACAGCATGCAAACATGAAAATATTATCAATTTAACAGCTTCTTGCATTCATAAAAAATACAAAAGCATCATATTTTTCTTTAGTTAAACTAAGTATGGTAATCAGTGTTAGTTGGCAAACGCTAGAGATTGATTTACATCCTGTAATAAAATACACTTAATGGAGCCTAATGAATGCTTATGTAACATAAACAAAGACTTTATATTTTAGATTTAAGTGTTTACCAAAGAGTGGAGCTACTAAAGCAGAAGTTTCCAACAATACAATGTTTCTATGTTACAGTCTGTTATGCCTCATTTGCGATTGCTTTGTTGCATTAGTAGCGATAATATATATATATTGCTTATGATTTGACCTTGCAGCCAAACAAAGACGACTTACAGTGGCTTGCGTACTTGTTTTCATAGAGTCTGCATTCATATCTCAACATAAAAAGAAGAAATAAGCTTTGCTGTAAAACATTCATCATTTTCCTTAGAACAGGACTGTTGATAAAGTCTGACTAAAATTCCCATGTATTTTCAGTTTGAGGGTTTTCTTTTTTTTCGCTGTATTATTTACTTTGCAGAGCAGCGTCTTTTAAAGCTCATCACAGTCTTCATCACACATATTTCCACTGTAGCAGTTCACTGAATCAGAGATACAAAGTGCTCTTCACTGCAGGGATAAAAGCCAGCAATGGCAACTGGCAAAACCCGAACAGACACAGTCTGCTGCATGCATGCAGCTTCACCATCTGTCAGCTCCGACCTGCTGACCATGGAATCACAATACTCACGACTTTTGTCTATGTTTTTGAAGATTATGTTCACATGTTTGCATGAATGTAAAAACAACGAAAAACATTTGTCATTGTGTATTTCTGTATTTTGAAAATATTCTTTTATGCTTTTTTTTCACTGTGGGTCTCTGTTTTTGTGTGTATGTGCACATGTAGCTGTGTTTTTATGAATGTGTTTATATCATCCAGGAGGTGCATCTCTGGACCTGAAGGCTTGCCCCCAGAAACCAGCTAAATGGATCCTCGACATGACTTGGCTCAACCTTGTAGAGCTCAGTAAACTGTGGCAGTTCTCTGATATACTGGATCAGGTACACACACACACACACACACACACACACACACACACATACATGTGTTTATATGGCTATGTTTGTGAAGATACTCATAGTATCTAGTACCTAACCTAAGTACTTAACCCCAACTCTAACCAGACTTAATTCTAACCTTTACCTTGAAATGAAGTCTTAATGCTGAAAAGCACCCTACATCTTCATTTGGTAAAGGGGAGTTTTTTTCTCTCCCTTGTTGTCAGGTGTTTGCTCAAAGAGAATCCAGAGGCAACTTTGGATTTGTTGGTTTCCCTCCCTTACTATGTGAAGTGCCTTGAAATAACATATTTTATGAATTGGCGTTATATTATGGAGCCCAGGAGGGACATCCATCCATCCATTATCTATACACCACATAATTGTCACCAGGGTTGCGGGGGTGCTGGAGCCTAAGGCAGGGGACACCCTGGACAGGTCGCCAGTCTCTGGAAGGGACATGGAGAAAGAAAAAAAACAGGGAGAGGAATAAAAAAAAAAAATAGATGTGTCTTTTGCGAGATCTCGCAAAACTATAGCGTTGTGTCCTAAATCATCCACTCACTCCCTACTCACTATATAGGGACCACTGTAATGAACCATATATGTAGTGAACTATGTAGGGAGCACCTCGGCGGTATATATACTTCTGGATCTTTTTGGCAGTATGGAGAAACGACAATGGAGGACACCCACCTGTATGAGAGTTTTATTATGTTGTATTTTGCATTCAATCAGTGCTTAGCAAGAAGCTCAGTTTTCACAAAACGTCCATTAAGATTGATGTGACTTCTGCGAGATGACAAGAAAGATACGTCTATTTTTATTTCCTCTTTTTGTTTTTTGTTTTTTTTCTTTCTCCATGTCCCTTCTGGGGCTCTGTGTTATATTGATTTAAAAAAAATTAAACTGAACTTCATTTTTGCCTTAATAATGACACGGGTCCCTCCTGGGTTTGTGTGCTGTCAGCTGAGAATACCCACTGGGAATAATAAATATGAACACACCCCTGAACATGCACAGCTCGAACAATTCAGACATGCCTTGACAGGTGGGTGATACATTTATTCAGCTGAGAGAGAGATTTTACCCAAAAGGACTTTCATCTATTAGGTCTACAGATAGCAGTTCTCATCTGTTACACGCACACACAGTCTGTAGGGAGCTGATGCAGCTAACTGCTCTGTTACGATGATGCTCACTGATCCAACACATATTTTGTTTTAATACACACACACGTACATGCGCCCACAAAGGCAAAAAAAAAAAACCCTCAACACACAGTTGATTACACACACATCAGATCCTTATCACTAGTCAGACCAGCACCTCCCTTCTAACTCCACACAACTCACAAATCAAACCAAACCTTCAAATTGTCAACAAAGAAGACCATTTATACACACAACACACACACACACACACACACACACACACACACTAAATTATTAAATAAATCCATAAATAAAATAAAAAAGCTTTTCCCAGGTATATGATAAATTTGTGTTTAAACAGTGTTTTTATGTCAAAACATTTCAATTTTTTATAAAAATTTGAAATGTTATGTTTGTTCAGATACAGGTTACATTAAACATATTTGTAATCTTTCAGATATCTTAATTCAAGTGATCAATTTTGCAGACATCCATAAAGTTACAGGTTTTTTTTGTTTGTTTTTTTAAACAGTGCAAGTTTGAAAAGGACTTGTTCTGAATGGCTTGTCTTTTTGTTAACAGTGATTTACTGTAATTGATAACTGTGTGATCAGGATTGTTTCTCAATGCTGATGTCAAATTGGTGATCTTTGTGGTTCCTTTGCGCTGAGACAGTTGCAGCAATGTTCGTCAACCAAGAAAAGAACCCTTTTGACTAGGAACAGAACAAGATTGCAGAAGTTGAATAGTCTCCATGTTCAGCAGTTCTAAGCAGTATAGAACATTAATTTAATAGCTGTCAGAAGACGGACAAGTGAAGCTCAGTGTCGTCCACCTGCCTCTTGATCTTGGAGAGGACAGAGTCAGACAGACATCTGCCCGGCACAGCAATGGGAATGTGATATGTACAGCCAACCATCAGATGATCGTACACTTTATTAGTCAGTTCCCTAGAGAACTTCCTGATTTGTCGGCTAGACCTGATGCTTTCCCGCATTTCTCTGACTGTCCAAACATGTCATACAAGTTGTCAAGACCCAGTTTGATAGGTTCAAAATCTAATGAATCTTTTCTGGAACATGTTGGTGAGACTACCAAGTAGCTCAATGAAGGTCTGAATTTGATCATCCTGGAAGACTCCAGAAAACCTTCAGGTAAAGAGTATTCGTTGTCAGATAAGACACTTTGGAACTGAGACTGACAGGACTCCTATTCCAGATCCACAAGGAACTCTGAATCTTTCCTCTTGAAAGCGCTCATCGGGGCTGAAACCATTTTTTCAAACTGCCTTTTCGCAGCCTCAGAAAAGTCACCATATTGGCAAACTTTCTTGGCACTAGCCTCATCATCTGAAGACACAGCATGTGAGGAAAAAGCTCCTGACCTTATTGACGATTGGGCCCATGTTAAAGTTAGGTCTGGGGGATTTTTCAGGGGATGCAGCTGCACTTCCAGGCTCACATATATGCAGGTCATTCAGTATAATTCTTACAATATCAGCTGCAACCGGATCAGACTCAGGAGTGCCAAACATGGAACAGTCGGAGCCTCTTCTGAGGAGCACTTACCGAGAATGTCCCTCACAGAGGCGGTCACTGCAGGAACAGAGATGCTGGGTTTTGCGCTTTCAATGCTTTCGTCCGAGTCACAGTAGCCATACTGCTGACTGCACAGTCACTTCACTGCATATCTTCTCAGACATGCAGCAGCATGAAACGCCAACTGATAAAGAGTACTGAAGGTGGACTTGGCGCCACCGATTTAAATGGCGGGCTCTGGAAGCAGAACCAGATTGCTGCCGGCCAAAGACACAGCGTTCACCCTCTGTCACACACACACGCGCGTTCGCGCGCGCACACACACACACACACACACACCTACAGCAGTGGTCTCAAGGTGCTTATTAAATATTTTCACTGCTGTTCTTTGCTCTAGTAAGCATGTCAATATCAGTTTCTTCATGGCTCTTTTCATCTCTCTTTTATACACACACACACACACTCATCATATGGACTGTCACTCACGCACAAATACACACACCCTTGTGGGTGACTGACAGTCTGGTGGCTTCCATGGAGAGGAAAACTCAGTGCTCTGTGAAATGAGCTTGGTTTGAAGAAACTTCCAATCATTTATTTTTGAATGAGCATGTGTGTACATAGAGACACACACAATATGTGTGTACTTCACATACACATGTATTTGGGTATGCAAGATTAACAAGGACAGGTGGCGGAACAGCTCTTTGTTTAATCAAATTAGAATTCCAACAAGGGGAGGACAGGATTGTGTTGTTTCAGATGCGTGACTCTACCAGCACCTACAGTTAATGTTCTCCTCAGACAACCACTAAACCCTTGGAATTCTTAAGTGAAACTGCACAGCGGATACTGAACAAAGAGCAGTAGCTTTGTTTTAACTATATGAACGTGTAAAGCAGGCAGTTGCTTCACTTTCATACTCATTACAGAACATGTTCTGTTTCAGAGTGATACATATTGCCAGTCAACCCGCTGTGAGCTAAAGTGGATATCGTACCCTGTAGAATAAGGAATTACTAGAGAAATTGTCAGCTTTCTGTAGTAATCCGATTTCTTAAACACCCTGTAAATAGGAAGCCTAGTTTATTTAGTGAAGGATTAAAATAAACCTGGGTAATACAGCTTTATTTCTGCTGGCAAAACCAGATTATTTCTAAAAATATATTTTTGTCTGTAGATTAAAAAAAACTAACAAAAAAAGCAAGTCAGCATAGTAGAGACAGACATTAAATGTGAGAAACCTAAAAAAACACGAACTTTTCCCAAAAGATCAGTCCAACATTTGCACCAGAAGTCCAAATTCAAATCTAATATTCCAGAGTTAGGGTTAAAAAATGTGGTCAGGGGTAACTCTCATTACTGATCAGCTCCACATTATTGTACTGAAAACATGGTGCTTTCTCCCACTAGCCTGGTTTCCTGTGTGCATGTAAACACAGCGTTTAACAGGCTATGCGACATCACAGCACATTGTGTGCCATCACAAATTCACATCACATCTTGGAAGCACATTGTGTTTACAAAGATTCAATAGAAACTGCTTTACGCACAGTTAGCACTTAATACAGCTCTATGATTGACTGACTATTAACTTTGACAATTCAGGAAATCATTTTATTGTAAAATTGTCTGTTACATCATGTATTACATGACATTTGTTTGTCTGTGCTTGTTTTGAAGTGATTAGATAATCTTCCATATTTATGACCTGATCTATACAGTGTGATTTTTTCTATAAAAGTTTTTTTTTTTATGTTTGTTTTGTTTAATTCTCCTTGTTATTTACTGTATTTTTTTTTTTTTGCAAAGAAGAAAAGATGGTACAGAAATGGTAATGATTAGGACCCAAACATGTTGTGCAGGTACAGAGAGGCACATGTTCATCATGGTCCTTAGGCACATTAAGACAATTTGGGCAATTTGTGGTGTGCATCTAGGAGGGAACAGAGTGAATACATTGTGATGTTTAACAGAAACATAGGGTACATTTAATCCTTGTTTTTGTCTATTTTCCTGCTAGATTAAATTCTGATGGCACTTTGACAATCAATGTGGGTTTTTCAGTATATTTGCTTCTAGAATCTAGTGAATTTATTTCTATTTTCTTATTCTTTTGTCTACATTTGATGTAATGTGATGCAATGAAGGTTTGATTTGTGTGTATCTATGTCAGAACAGTTTGTATGTTTCTTCCAGATAAGTCGTAATGAGAAGCAGTGGAAATTCTGGTTTGATAAGGAGGCCCCAGAGGAGGCGGTGGTTCCAAACTCCTATGACCAGGCCCTCGACTGTTTCAGACGGCTGCTTCTCATACGATGTTGGTGTCCTGACAGGACCATCGCACAGGTTAGGAAAAACTCCTCTCTGTATTGTTATGATGTCCAGATGCAGTGTATGACAGATGTGAGTACACCCCTGTGCAGTGTTGCTTGACGTCAAATGGTTTATCACCTTACAGTAATTGCATTATGTCTATGTTGAACAGTAGGAAAGTGGCTCTGATTTGAAATTGAAAGCGAACAGTTAAGTTTTACTTTATTAAAAATACAGTCTACACACATCTTTCCTTACAGAGAACAGAGTTGTTCTATTAGATTCAAGTCGGGCAACACACTTGTCCAGGTCATAGTTTCCACTTTTTTGTTTGCTTTGGATTGGAATATCCCTTTTCTGCCAACCTTCTGCAGATTGGGAGTCATATTTTCACTCATATAGTCCATGTTATGACTTTGCCACCTCTGTACTTCACTGTTGGGACTATGCAGTAGTCCCAACCACAATCATGCCAACCATCTTCTCCCCACCTGAGCCAAACAAATTAATTTTGCTCTCATCTCTAAATGTGATCTCAATATCAGGTGTGTTTTCATGTTCTTCTACATTTTTGTGCTAAACAGCAAGCAAAGGACACCGCTGATAGATGTTAACATTATGCAATGTCCTTTGCACTGTCTAAGCTGTCATAGAAACTCTGATTTTCATTGATGTGTGGGAAATCTGAAGCACTTGTCCGTCAGTTTTCCACAGCGAGATTGTGCCCGTGGTGTCATTTTAGGAGTATGGTCACTGTGGCTCTGATTAGTGGTTTAATGACTTGACCTGTACCTTCTGATTACTGCTGCAAGTGTGGTAGGACTGATTTGTGCCAATCATCCAGTATTCTTTTCTATCTATATGAAGCCTCCCAATCAGATTTTTTTCAGTTCCTTCAGCAACTCTTTTCCACATGGAGCCATAATACAGATAAACATAGTCGGTTTAACCATGTCCATGCAGGTAAACTGATTGGAAGTCACAGGTGTAATCAGTTTTGTTTCAATGATAGCAGGTTTTCTAACTTTTTGACCAATGATTACAGGCATGTTCACTTTTTGTGGCATTGAGTTTACCCTGTATTTTCAATAGTCTTTCTAAAGTCTTTTATTCTTCTTCCTATTTCTTTTTAGCCATTCATAAGAAGAATTACTATACAAGCCGAATTAGAAATAATGTAATTATTTAAGGCCGTAACAGTTTTGATTGCACAGGGGTGTACTCACTTTTGTTCTTTATTGTGCAATGATTCAGTGGCTTAAAACCACCGATTGCTTGTCTAACTAGTCTAACTGGGACCAGAAAACAACTTTATGTCTTAGAAGCTCAATCTGTAGTGATATCTTCCTTGGTCAAAACTCTCCTTGAAGGAAAGCGTGACATACATTTCATAAAACAGCTTTTACTCTGAAGCCTGCTGAGCCTGTTAAACAAGCCTGTTTAAAAGACCTTCACCCAGTTTTTACTGAAAAGACTAAGCCTTTAAAAATACTTTGAACTATTCCCTCTGTTCTCAACTTTCCAGAAAGTAAATTTGTTCTCGTATTAACTTGTCCTTGCCCTGCAGTGCACATTTACTTTACCCCATTTTCTGCTGTCTCTACTATAGGCTCGTAAATACATAATGGATGCAATGGGGGAGAAGTACGCTGAAGGGGTGATTCTGGACTTAGAGAAGATGTGGGAGGAATCAGACCCACGAACGCCTCTCATCTGCTTCCTTTCAATGGGCTCAGACCCAACCGACTCCATTATTGCGCTGGGAAAAAAGATGAAGTTTGAGACCCGATACGTCTCGATGGGACAAGGGCAGGAGGTCCATGCTCGCAAGCTTCTGCAGCAATCCATGGCTAATGTGAGTCAGATATGTGAGATTAAAGCTATTGCATCATTTAATACTATGCCTATTAAAAGTATTCATCCCCCCACCATAAAACATGGTGGTGGCAGCATCATGATGTAGGGATGCTTCTCAGCAGCAAGCCCTGGAAGGCTTGTAAAGGTAAAAGGGAACATGAATGCTGAAAAAAAAATCTTATCAAAAAAGCCAAATTATATTGACCACGATTTCATGTATAAAAGCAACAAAAGGCTGAAACATCCAAGGGGGGTGAGTACGTTTAATAGGCACTGTTTATCAGCAAAACCATTTGTTTGCAATATGGTGAACCAGACACCAAGATGCTCTGTCTGGGAAGATGTATTAAATACATGAACCTTTTTGAGCTTCATCACTTCACAGTCCTTGATATAGATTATAGCCATTACTGCTGTTGTTGTCTGCAGGGTGGGTGGGCCTTACTCCAGAACTGCCACCTGGGTCTGGACTTCATGGACGAGCTGATGGACACGGTGACCGAGACGGATTTTGTCAACGACAGCTTCCGCCTTTGGATGACCACAGAGGTCCACAGACACTTCCCCATCACGCTTCTGCAGATGTCCATCAAGTTCACGAACGAACCGCCACAGGGTCTTAAGGCAGGGCTGAAGAGGACCTACGGAGGTGAGGTTTTTGTTTAGCTCACCTTAAAGCACTGTTGAACATAATAAAGAGTCTAGAATTCTTAATCTTTTGCTGCGAAAGATTAGCTTTGTGAGGCTGTTTTAAGAATAAAGAAGCTCACATTCGATCCTAAATCAATATAATATTCTGACCTGACAACGTTCCTAGAGATAAACACATTGGAAATGAGGTAAAATGTGGGTCACTAAATGGGGATCAGAAATGTGTCTGTGTGAGTGAGAAAGAGGACATAAAAAATGATAAGCGAGCAAGATAAGGTGTGTTGTTATCCTGGATGTGTATGTGTGTGTACAACAACTCATTTGTGGATGAGGACTTAGAGTTAGACCTTGAATCCTGTCTTGTCCTCAGGGAAAGTGAGCAGATGAAAAGATGGAGATGCAGGAGAAACACCTGCTTGCTTCTTAATTTACTGCATTTTACACCCAAGTACCAAAAGCCTCAGGGAGGGTTTGTGAATTTTTAAATAAGCTGAAACACGTAGTTTGTGTTTTTATGCAAAACTTGAGGACGAAAGAGAAGAATATTTATTATGTATGAGCCAGCTGTCTTTTTCCTGGCTCATCTGGAAAAAGGAATACGTTTGTTCCTGAAGGGCAGTTGAGATTCTCAAGAGTCTGCGTACAATCTTATCTTCTGCTTTTCAATCCTGGCTGCAATTAACAGTTGCATTTCATAATCAGATTAGGAGGAATCACACTTGTTTTGAGCAATGGATGCATTATATATAACTCTTTTTTTTTTTCTTTTTTCTTTTTTCTTTTCTTTTTTCCTAAACGACCACTAAAAAGATAATATGCATTGACAATTGTTCCTATTGCATTTATGTTTATGAAACTCGTGTTTTACTTTCTGTGGCTGGAAGACTTTGAATCATAGCTCCAAATGTTGACCTCAAAGGCTCATAAAACCACAATGATATTCTGAAGGTTTTACTTTGTCTCCTGTTGCACATGCTGCTGATTCATCTATGTGTCCCTCATCAGGTATAAACCAGGATCTTTTGGATATCAGTAACATGGTGCAGTGGAAGCCGATGCTCTATGGAGTAGCGTTTCTCCACAGCACAGTGCAGGAGAGGAGGAAGTACGGCCCTCTGGGATGGAACATCCCCTATGAGTTCAACCAGGCTGACTTCAATGCCACCGTCCAGTTTGTTCAGAACCATCTTGATGACATGGACATTAAAAAGGTAGGAGACATTTCCTACATGTTGACCAAACTGAACTACAGATAAATGTTTGTTGGCCCAGAGGATGGGTGAGATCAACAAGCACTGCTACCAGCAACAGTGAGATACAGTTAAAACAGTTCAAAGTGCTGAGTTTCTGTGTGACAATAGTTGTAAACACTATTCGATAGCGTTTTTCTGCAGCAGCATTTATTTTTTGTCTCTTCATCACCTTTCCTCCAACTCTACAAATTCTTATGAAGCAAACAAGAGAGTTGTAGTCTTTAACTTTGTGTATAATAAATAAATTATAACAAACTAGTGGAGTGTAGTTTACAGATGCAGGAACCTTATGCAACGCAGCATCTTACAAAAGTTTAATAATTATATCAGTATAAATGCAATGTAATGTCTTTTTCATTGCTTTACTCACATAGGAATTTATTATGCCTTTGAAAATATTGTAATGTAATTGTATGTTTCAAATCTGCTAATGAAGACCAAAGACAATTAACCTCCGCTACCATTTCTAAAGCCAGAATCAACCCTGACCTTCACAGTTTCTGTCATGCAAAAATGGTGATTCTTTGTCGGGACTTGATCAGTGTTTCAGAAAATGTTTTTTTTAGCAGCCAAGCATTGATGAAGATCTCAAACAGAAATAACAACCACACTGTTATTGATGTGCACAGCGTGAGAAAGTAGTATTAACCTTTACTGTGCTGCTATAAGCCTGCTTGCAATGTACAACAACACTGCACATTCATCATTGCCTTCTGCCAAACTTTTTGTGAACAGCAGTTTCACATATTTATTTGCTGTCATTCTTCGTGATTATTTCGCATCTCCTCAGGGTGTGTCGTGGAACACAGTGAGATATATGATCGGTGAGATTCAGTACGGTGGCCGTGTGACTGATGACTACGACAAGCGCCTCCTGAACACCTTTGCCAAGGTGTGGTTCAGTGAGGACATGTTTGGACCTACCTTCGCCTTCTACAAAGGCTACAGCATCCCCAAATGCTCCAATGTCGACCAATATCTAACGTACATCCAGGTCAGTCTCTCCTAGCTTGTATCTGGCTTCTACAAACGATAAAACAGATTTGAAGACAGCTGTTTCAATGTGTGGACAGGTGGTTGCAAGAATGTCGCTTTCAGTCTCTGATGAGGTCTAATGTCTTAAAAATTTCACCTGTTTGTTGAATATCGCCATCTAAACTTTTGTGATATTGCTGGGTTTCACTTTTTCCTACACTGTCACCTTTCAGTGACATCAGTGAAAAAAGCGACATGAGATTTGAGGTTTTTGAAGGATGCTGATGCACTGTGTTCCTGTCACATCTGAATGCAGGCTGCCACGTGTGATTTCAGATAGGAATGCAGGCATACTCATTTTATTACAGATTATATATGATTTATTAGTGTGCTTGTGTGCTTAACTGGTGTGTGTGCGCCTTTGTGAGTGTCTCTATGTCTGGGGGCAGTTCCTGAGCTTGTTTCATTAAAGCTGGTTTCATTATGATGGATGCTCAGGGCTGCCAGGCTCAGCGAGCTTATTCCTCTGCACTACCTCTCAAATAGAGAATGACAAACACAGCCTTGGAGAACACACGCGTACAGATGCAACATTCAAAAACACACACACGCACTATGTAGAGTCACATTTGCTAACAACCCTTCTTTCTCTTTCTGTCACGGACACAAATACGCACACGTGTTCACACTTTATCCAAAGAGACAAAATGCATAACGGAGCACAACGTGTCGCCGTGAATGTGAGCGCATGTGTGTATTTAAATGAAATGCAGACAGACAGGAACAAAGGTAAAATTCCCTAAGAGGAAATAAATGACCACAGCGAGGGACAGAGGCGATTCAGCTTAGAATCAAGTGTGACTCTTTTTTTGTCTCCCATCACTTCCCATTTTTCTTGGTGTATTAGCCTGCCCTCTCTCCTGATGGTTGACTCTGCGTGTGTGTTGGATGCAATAAAATGTCCTAATAATGGAGAACGTATTAAACCATTTGCATCTGTTGAACGAGCAGAACACAAATTTGCAGAAACGCGATCAACTCATTGTCTACTCCTTATTTAAACAGATCAACCTAGATCAACAAAGAATTGAACTCGGGGGAGGGAAGTTTGAAACAAAACAAGGATTCAACTCTAAAATACAGTAGGGCTTTCCTTAAAATACGACAAAGCACATAAAATAACACATTTCTAATTGCTTTTAATTGGTTTTGCTCATTTGACATTATTGACCATCATAAAGTTTTGTGCAGCCGCCACAAAGTACGCTTGTTCAGAAATTTCCACCTCATTAGTCACGCTGCAGTAACAGATGGTCCATCTGTCAGACACTCGCTGCTAGATATCTCTAAACCAATTAAAACATCACAGCTTCAACTTTGTGCTTTGGGCTGGATTTTTATTAGAACAACTTTGTCCCAAAAACCTAGATTTTACCCCAGTTTAAATGTCATCAGTTAAACCCACAGTAGATGAGCAGTAAGATAAGATTTCTTTAAGCCACCTGATTAATCACCTTATCAGCAGGAGTGTCTTACTTCCCCATTGTGCAGTTATTTACCCTTTAAGGCCAGAAAATTGGTATTGACTGCTACAGAGCTTCTATCGGAGAGCACAGTCAGTTCAACTCTTAAGCACAGTGCTGAAAAGCATTACCATATCATAAACATTTAATGGCTTTTTATTAGATTGTTGAGAGAAAATGAGGCAGTGAAAGATGCAACAAAGGTCCCTGGTAATTGGTGCAGTCAAGACACAGTTTCAGATAAAAGCACAACAGAGGACTGATGATTTCACATGTTCTCATACAGCCACACAGACAGCACATCCATCCACACACTACAGACGTAGAGCTCTCAGCAGTGGAATGTCTGGCTCAGCTGTGCGCCTGCCGTTTCAACACATTTGGTCGCATTTGTGGGGAAACTCAGGGATGATGTTGTCAGTGCACCAGCACTTCACACTAGTTGGTCAGGGATGTGCACCATTTTGCTGGGAGGGATAGCATGAATCTTCCATGTGTTACACCCCCGCCATGATTCTCCTCACTGGAGGGTGAAAAGAAGCAGCTGGTGACACCATGTGCATCAAAGGAGACGCTCGCTGTCTACACTTCCCTCTAGGCCGACAGCGGGCTTAGCAGTGACAAAACCCACAGCGCAGGGAAATAAGTGTTTGAAACTCGGGTAGGGGGAAGGGAGACCGCCAACCCCCCGTCCAAAAAAATATATAGTCCACGTTGTTGGACATCTGCAGAGGTTGAGGCAATGCACTGCTCTGTTGGGTCACCCTTCCTTTCACAGCACTCATTGTGATAATAGACTGAATGTATCATGGCCATTTTCGTCTTAAAATGTTCAATAAGTGATCTCTGTTTCAATAATCGTTTCTCTTTTATAGGGTCTTCCAGCCTATGACACCCCAGAGGTGTTTGGTCTCCACCCGAACGCAGACATCACCTTCCAGAGTAAACTGGCCAAAGACGTGCTGGACACCATCCTCAGCATTCAACCAAAAGACAGCTCATCAGGTGGAGGAGAAACCAGAGAGGCTGCAGTGTCCAGGCTGGCTGACGACATGTTGGAGAAACTGCCTCCTGACTACGTACCTTTTGAAGTAAGCCCTTGTGTAGATTCAATGTATGTGAGCACCATAAACAGCCCCGAGGCAGCCATTTGAAGCAACATGTGCAGCGCTGCCCTGGTGAGTACTGTGCAGAGGGGGCTGCCGTGGTACTGGCAGAAAGGCAGGATGTGTGTTTGGAGATGGAGATGGAGTGTAAAAGAAGACCAGAAATAGACAGGAGGGTGTGAATGCAGCTGAATCTTGGGTTCTTCGTCAGTTTTGTCACTAAAGAGAAAAAAAAAAAAGTGAGGTGAGAATGTGGCTTTTCTGAGTCGAGGTGCAAAGCTCATCACAGAAAACTGCCACTGCACTACACACCCTGCGTCTGCCACTTTCACTTCCATCTGTCTACTGGCTTGTCTGTTTGTTTACCCAGTGTGTAAAAGCACCAAAAAAAAATAGAGAGAGCTGGTATCCCGTGTCGGCAAGCTCCAAATGATGTGTTTTAAAATAAGAGACAATTACACGAGGAGCAAAGAGGCTCAGGAGAATAAGCAGAAATACTGAAGTGTTAACAAGAATGTCTGCATTTCTAGTGGGAGCTCTGTACTGGTAAGAATTCTCAATGAAACAACCATGAATTTCCTAGCTCTCTTCTTCCTGTTCTTTTTTCTCTGTTCCTTACAAATAGTATAGAAAGTTTATGTTCTGTTCAGTTTGTCACAGCTACATTTGAAATATTGGCATCATCCTGATAATAGTAAATCTTTACTTGAGTAGGTTTCTATTCATTCTGCCTATTTTAGACATTGTTGGGAGGGTTACTTTAAAAATGTAATTTTACACAATTAATAATAAACAGTTAAAAATCTAATCTGTAACCTAATCCAAGTATTACGATACAATAGCAGTGTAACTTTTATGTATTTTCTGTTTCTTTGTGATCACCCCAATACAAAAAAATATCAGCATGCTGACTTTAAGCTTATTCTGTAATCAAGTCCATTTGTTAATAACTTCCCTTTTTTGATATCCTGATTACAGAATGGATTTCAATGTATCCTACTACTCTAAATCCCTTCTTTGGATCCTTTTAAGTTTTGCCTTGTCTACTTTACTTAAACCAGGTAAGAGAGCATCTCCAGAAGATGGGTCCTTTTAAGCCCATGAACATCTTCCTGCGTCAGGAGATCGACCGGATGCAGAGGGTCATAGTTCTGGTCCGAAACACTCTGACGGATCTCAAGCTGGCCATCGATGGAACCATCATCATGAGTGAGAACCTGCGGGACGCCCTTGACTGCATGTACGATGCACGCATTCCTGCACGCTGGAAAAAGGTTTGTTGAGAATATTGATTGAAAAAGAATTAAACTACCCTTAATGTGATATTGCGCATGTTAGGTGATGTTTGAAAATTTGCTAATAATTTGTTTACCTCAAATGTTTATCGTCCAGTTTCATATGCGCACATGTCAACACATTACAAAAAATAAAAAATAAAACTACCAAGCTATGTATAAGGAGCTCCAAGGCACAAATTGATATCTCAGATCTTATTTTTTTCAACTATGCAGGTATAATTTCTCTATTTTCTTTTTTTGTTTTCAAGGTTTGTTTGTTTCTGAGAACATCAGGTAATTTGCTCACTAAAACAAAGCCACATCAGCATTAATCCTCAGACTCTTCTTGTTTAGCTGACACCGATCTCCTTACCTTTTTTATTTGTGTACTTTATTTTAGAATTTTATGCACAGTGAGCAAATACATTTCCATAATAATGAATACAAATGAAGAAAATTACTCGTAACAAACTTAGCTGAAGAAATTACTTGAAAATTTATAACGACACAGAGGGAGCAAACAACAGAGAGGTATGACTTGGCATGACTTTTCGCGTATTTCACATTCGAGTCATTCTGTTGGCATTCAGGCTGTGATCTTACAAACATTACATCATTACAATAATTGTGACTTGAATGGCTTCCTGGCTTGGATTCAGAGTTTTTCTACCTGCAGCACCATCTTCTTCTTTTTGGTACCACTCTATAGTGTTTTGTTGTATTCATATTTTTGTCTTTTGTGAAATCTCCTTTTTCTTTCTTGCCACACGATGACTCACAGTCCTTTTTTTCCTTTTCTTTTTTCTTTTTTTTTTTTGCCTCCCTTTGTCTTCTCCTCTGATCCCCCCTTGGATGACAGTTTTCAGTGTCATTGTAATGTTTTGTTCATGTTGTTGCTTGTCTTTGTTGTTGTTTTTCAGGCATCGTGGGCATCCAGCACCCTGGGGTTCTGGTTCACAGAGTTGCTTGAGCGGAACCGGCAGTTTCAGGCTTGGATCTTTGAAGGGCGGCCCAACTGCTTCTGGATGACAGGCTTCTTCAACCCGCAGGGCTTCCTGACAGCCATGAGACAGGTACACACGGCATCAGGCTACCTACCTATTTACCCACCGCCGGGGATGAGACCAGATGGCACACAGAGGGAGAAGCAGGCACACAGCCACACAGGCGAACGCACACGCATGCACACGCACACAGACACGGTGACGACAAGGGAACACACACTTCCCTTTGTTTTCTAGTGACTTCCCATTTATATTAATGTGGGGGCGGAGTAAATGCTACACCTATCCTTACGTTTAACCCCACTTGATCCGGATCCAAATCACCATCCCTGCATTATTCATTAGAATTCATTCATCATTAGAGATCTATGCCTTTGAATCATGATATGCTGAACAAAAATATAAACGCAACATTCTTTTTGCCCCAATTTTCATGAGCTGAACTCAAAGATCTGAGACTTTTTCTATGTAGACAAAAGGCCTATTTCTCTAAAAGATTGTTCACAAATTTGTCTAAATCAAATTTGTGAATCTAATCTTCAGTTTGTGAATCAAATTTTAAAATTTGTCTTTGCCGAATTAAACTATCCACCTCACAGGTGTGGCATATCAAGATGCTGATTAGACAGCATGATTATTGCACAGGTGTGCCTTAGGCTGGCCGCAGTAAAAGGCCACTCTAAAATGTGCAGTTTTATCACAAAGCACAATGCCACAGATGTCGCAACTTTTGAGCGAGCGTGCAATTGGCATGCTGACTGTAGGAATGTCCCTCAGAGCTTTTGTCAATGAATTGAATGTTCATTTCTCTATCATAAGCAGTCTCCAAAGGTGTTTCAAAAAATTTGGCAGTACATCCAACCGGCCTCACAACCGCAGACCACGTGTAACCACACCAGCCCAGGACCTCCACATCCAGCATCTTCACCTCCAAGAGTGTCTGAGACCAGCCATCCGGACAACTGCTGCAACAATCGATTTGCATAACCAAAGAATTTCTGCACAAACTGTCAGAAAACGTCCCAGGGAAGCTTATCTGAATGCTTGTCGTCCTCATCCACGTCTCGACCTGACTGCAATTTGCCGTCGTAACCGACTTGAGTGGGCAAATGCTCACATTTGATGGCGTCTGGCACTTTGGAGAGGTGTTCTCTTCACGGATGAATCCCGGTTTTCACTGTACAGGGCAGATGGCAGACAGTGTGTATGGTGTCATGTGAGTGAGCGGTTTGCTGATGTCAATGTTGTGAATCGAGTGGCCCATGGTTTCAAGGAATTAATGATTCAAGGCCTTTATTGGTCACAAACTCAGTTATACATGGTATAACTTGCAGTAAAATGTGTTGTGCACCTGTTCCACACCGAAACAATAATAATTAAAGCCGCAAGCGGCAT